ATAAATATATATATATATATATATATATATATATATATATATATATATATGTATATACAGGTGAGCTGGAATGTAGTTAAGCAACTGAGTAAGTTTTAGACTTAAAAACCAGGTTATTCTATCCGTTGGCCCGTCTACACAGCTGATGATGGGTCTAACCTTAAATGATGACGGATTGGTTGACGCAAGATCATCAGGTGATACCAACTTATGTGTTTTAATAAGTAAGTATAAGACGGAGCATGTTGATCTGTTGACTTTAAAGTCCGAAATAATCGACGATTTTAAGCCTACCGCCTTTGCCACTTTGACCCACTGATTGTTTAGTTTTCGGTATTGACTTTTGTATTCCTTCTCAGAGGATGGGCGATAGAGGGTAGCATCACTAAGATGCTCTGTTATCTCAATATCCAGCTGGCGAGGAATAACTACGAACTCTCCCCCGTTATCATTAACTGATAGCCTAATGGTCTTTGAATTTGTCAAATCTCTAATTACTTGTATGCCACACTATTGTGCGGCTGTAAAGTTGGAGATAAATCTGCTATGCTATCGCGATAGTGATTAAGAGTGTTGAGAACGCCGTCCGAAAACATGCGGAATCTTGCGTCAATTCCGTCGTTGGGGTCCTGCTGTCTAAAAAACGTTCTAGGGAAAGGAGATGGTGGTAGTGTCGCCGCCTCTTGGTTTTCACCTGTATTCGATGTTTGTATATATGCACATATACACATGTTTGTATATACATATATATACAAAGAACAAATAAAAGTTTAAAACAAATAGAAATAAGTAAAAATAAATTAAAAATAACTAAAAATAAACTGAAAAGAGATTTAAAAACGAAAATAAATAAAACGACTAAAATAAATCAAAGGCACATAGAAATAAACCGAAACTAAATAAGGATAAATAAAAATAAATGAACGTAATAAAAAGTTAAGTTATATAGGAGTTAAAGAAAAACTGCGAGCCAAATAGAGATAAAGTGCTAACCTGATTTAGGTGGAAGTCTAAATCTACTTGAACCTGCTGTTCACCGATATTCGATTTCTCGTTCTCCATTTTGCTTCGACCACGTCGTTGCTTCTCAGTGATGGTCTCCATACTGTTCGCTCATCGCTTTTGAAGATGTTCATCTAACAGCCTATTCAAGGTCGGCATTTTTGCGCATGTATTAAAACAAGTGTACACTATAAGAAGAATGAAACAAGAAGAAGAGCGAAAAAAAGAACAACAAAATATGACCAACAGCCAGAACAAGGTGAAGAAAATAACAAGAACAAGAATCTCTACCGCTTAAGAGTGTAGAACAGTTCATCCAGTGGGATGGATGTTCTAAAGTTTCCTTTCACTGTAACATGTTCTTAGCCCTCGAAGTATTTTCTTCGCAGACCATTCAGCTACGGCAAGCATGGTAGGAAGGGCTCTTAAGATCGGATGTGCGGTGGTTCAACCGTGTGGTTGATTCAGAATAAATATATAAGTAATAATAGACAGATCAGATATTATATAGGCATAAAAATAAAACAATGTAGTATAATGGTGATAAAATAACAAATAACAAATAGTTCAACCATGTCAAGAATACTATGCCGCCGTCATAGAGTGCTCGAACGATGTCTTTTGAAATTTAACTAGCACACACATCATCTAGTCGGCACGCGCAGCCCATACTTTCGGAACCTATTTCTTTTCGCGATTCAGAAGCATATGCACCAATGGCGAAACATAGACGGGCCCGTCATGTAATGTAATAAGGAGCACAAGTGGCAAATGGACGAAAAGAACACTAGAGTGGACTTAAGAGAATGCAAGTGTCCCAAAGGACTAGCCGAGCGATGGGCGGACGTGTTAGTGGCTCATGTCATGGGAGCCATTTGTGTGCATCAAGGAAAGTGCCTTGTTGAAGTCGCCATGTTCGAACCAATTCGTCACCATGGACGACGAATCTGCGAGAGAGACAAGTGAAATACTCAAGGCGAAACGAGTCAGCAGAGATAATTTTACAAAATTCCGATAGGGTGACATAGAGAGGAATTTATGAGATCACAACGCATTAAAGTGAGGATTCAGATGAGATTCTATCAGTCAGTTGTTCCACTCACACGAATATATGTACATATACGCACTATGTTGGCATACACACACAAACATAGGATATACTGTTAGTTTTTTCTTCAAGCGTTCGTGGTTGAGAAGACTAAAATCGAATAGGATAAATGAGTCATCATCACCAAGTATCTAAATGAATAAGCAAATTTGGTTACGACATTTATAGACCTACTATGGTTACCGCGTTGAAGTGTACCAAAGTCCCGAACTCCAATGAAGAAATAAAGCGCCTTGGCATATGGCAATATATTTATTGAATTTGGAAGTTTATATAGAAAGAAATGCCGCACAATAAAATAAACAACTGGAAAGAAAACGAGTTTTCATACGATTCGCATTGTACGTTTTGCTTTGTTGCATGTCCGATTATCAAATAAAGAAACCACAGCGGCAGTAAATATGTGAAAAAAACAAAATGAGATCTAATAGTGCGAAAATCGATGGAAAACATTAAATACAGCATCTCAGTAAAGAGGGGAAAATAAAAACGGGTAAAATCTATGCTGGAATACTTCAGACCTAAGAAAAATATTGAATACAGCTATGCATTACTCGTACGATACGTTAATTTGATTCAATAGACCTGTCCACTCGGAATACTTCTGAAAACAAAAGAATGTTGTCATTTTCCGAACGATCTATGACTCCGTTTGGCAACTCGGACGAGCGCAATGAATCACTAACAATTCGATGACCTGAAAGAAAAACAAAAACAGAGTACAATCACCAAAATGGCGAGATATGAGCAAAACTCGGAACCTCAGGTGCGCTTATAAAATGCGATTACCCTTTTCAAGAGCTCACGTACTATCCACCGTACTACCATTGCCCGTGCTTTGCCTTTCTCTTAGCCCGTTTTTTACCCTAACGGTGCTATCAGCCATCGTCCATCAACGGTAATTTATGCCGTCTGAGTGGCATAAATCTGCACTGAACTCAAGCCGAAGTTGCAATCGGAATCGCAATGCTTAGCTTTTATCTACTGTCCACTATTTTTTCATGACAGAGTATTATGTAAAGTACTTCCGCAATGATGTTGAGATATGAACACCCGGAAAGGTAATCGCTAGTTTCGAAGCCCACTTGAGGTTCAGAGTTTTGCTCATACTTCAGCATAGTCGTAATTGTACTCTACATAATACCCTATCACGAAAAAATATTAGGCAGTAAATAAAAGTTGAAAACACAATAATCCACACCAAATAATCGCGAACAATCTACCAAAATTTGTGGCGGAAGTTACCTGGACTTGACCGATCGCTTATTTCGTCTAAAATCGTCCTCGAATTGAAATTTAATGAAGACTTGGGACCATAAATCAGAGGCAAATATTGAATGCAACCATCAGACCACACCTGTGATTTATTTAAGGCAAAATACAACTAAGGGTTAAAAAGAACGAGTCGTAAATGACATACAATAGTTAACATCGAACCGCTGTTAAATTTTTGGAGGAAGAAAATTATCGACGGACATCCAAACATGGGTGCTTCTACGAAACCGCTGAACACGCGAGAAATTATTTTCGCTGCTGATCTATGATAGACAAAGAAAAAACTATTTGATATCTTACGCAGGAGTAAGCCTGACCGTTGGAAGCCAATCCACGATAAAAACAGCAACAACACCTGGATTGTCTGAAAATACGACGGTAATATCTGACAGTAATGGAAGGAAATAAAGAAAAACTGTACATTCTACTTACCCACACTCTTTAAAAATATTTACCTGCAAAACTTATGGCTAACCTTTGTCCATCAGGACTCAGTGTCATGCAGTGCACCTTTCCACCTATGGTAACAATTGCTCTGAAATACCTTTCACTACTTAGAGACTTAGAGAAAGTACAACGTAAGGCATTATAAGGTCGAATTAGAAGGTGCTTTAAAAAAAGAGAGAACAGAGATGAAGAACCTTTCAACAGCTCCCTCAATTTCAACCTCCGAAGGATCAAACTCTACTGGCGATAAGTCGAAAACTGGAATTGCATGAGTGTCGCCAATCCACCTGCTTAAATCGGATACTCTAATATGGAAGTAGTTTCCAAACCCATATCTTCACATAAAAATAAGAACGAGAGATGGAGAGAGTTGAACTTACGCTTCGAAGATTCCATCTTCATTGACTTCATTTTTCGCCGAAAACGCAATGGAATAAATCTGATGACTGTTTTCTGAAGAAAACAGTAAGCAACACCCTGTAGGCGACCATACTGCGCTGACCGCTCGTCCAGCTAGTCCACTCCATCGTTCCTCACGCCACGTACTGCGGTCATAAACTCTGTTTTAAAAAAAATTACGTAGTACAAGCGAAGAATTACTTTTACCACGAACAATGTACCGAATAATGTTTCCAGTATACAAAACAACAAGCCGCTGGCCATCTGCAGTCGGGACCACATTAGTTATATTGCCGCCTGACCAAGCACCGAATGAATCAACTTCGCCAGTGGAAACGTCAACAATATGAAATGTTATGACTTCAAAGTCCAGCTAGACAGAAAGCGTAACATACTAGCCGGTCTACCATAATCTTCCCACTGTTGGGTGACGTGGCTAAAATTGCGTTTGTAGTCGTACGATCCCAAATAATTTGGCTAATGGGTTCGGCAGGTAATTCTATCACTTGAGCACACTGTAGTGATGGTCTGAAATGTAGGATTCTCAATATCCTAACTTTAACTTAATGGCTATTACAACGTTGCTGAGATATTTGCAAAACTCTCGACTGCAGGTGTCTATGGTGGGAAACGAACGCGCTATTATCCTTTCCGGGGAGTAACGCGTTCACCACTACATCATGCGGGTCCTTTGTTTCGCCTGTCTCTCAGCTATTTCTATCGATCTCTGCCATCAGCAATCATCCGTCAGTGGGATTGAGCGCGTTAGTCCCCGGAAAGGACAATAGCGCGTTTGTCCTCCACTGCAGACAGGGCAAAAAATCTGCCAGTAGGCAGAAAATAAAAAAGGTATAACATTGTGATTTCAACTACAGCTGCAGCTTAACTGGGTTCTATGCCGATTTGGGCGCCCCAGATCAATCCCGCTGACGGGTGATTGCTGTGGCAAAGATCGATAGAAATAGCTGAGAGACAGGCGAAACAAAGGACCCGCATGGTGTGGTGATGAACGCGTTACTCCCTGGAAAGGACAATAACGCGTTCGTTCCCCACCATACACACCTGCGGTCCAGAGTTTCGCAAATATCTCAGCAACGTTGTGGTTGTATTTCGCTTAGTACCCTGCCGCAAAATTATAGTAGGCAGAAAATAAAAAAGGTATAACATTAATGGCTATTCTTATTCTATGGCAAGATATGGTAGGATACTGTGTGAAGTACTACCACAAGGAAGATGGGATAGTCACCTCAGGTTCCGAGTTCTGCTCATATCTCAGCATCCTTTTGGTTGTATCTCACATGAGATTCCGATTTAACAGATCACTTTAAATCTCGAAAAATGTATATAAAACCTATTCATTGAGGTTCAGGCTACTAAGATACGAATTACAGAATCTCGGTTTTCACTTACTTTATGTTGGCCCCCTTTGTATTCAGTCTCCATATAAGAATTTTGTCACTGACTGCAACCGCAAGCACACGCTGGTCGAAAGGTCTAGAAGCATTTCAATAGAATGCATTTGGACAGAGATCAACAGGAAAAAGATGTCCACAGTTATAGAAACTAACTCCCAAGCCATACAGGTTACATTCGTCTGCAGTGGATGTCTTAAAGTTGATGGTGCCCTCTGAGGTCGTCCTATACTATAGACTCGAATATAGTCGTTGTTCTGACAAATAGCTAAACGTCGCCCTTCGTCGTGCACAGCCACACACCGTAACCAGTTGCTTTTCCGAAAGATGATATCGTTAATATAAAGCAATTTAGAGGGTTGAATAATGGAAAATATTAAGAGAGAGTGTGCTTAAGTATACTACCAATTCATCGTAGAGCAATACCGCTGAAGAATTTCATCAAACCTATCCTGACTAAGTGAAGGGATAAGCCGCGACGCTATTCTGGCAAATCCATCTCGAATATGAACAACACCGCGACCTATGATTGCAGTATTATCACATGAAGCACTGAAGGACAAATGAAGACCTATCATAATGATGGATAACGGATAAAAAAGCTTTCATACAGTACTCACTGAGATGTGCAACTGGCCAAAGTTTACCGTCTTCGGTGATGTCTGCGACGTAGTCGATCACGCCTACTATACCATCTTTTTTCCTAATATAACAAAAATTAAACTAAACTCTAAGTTTGAAAAACATGAGAAAAACAACTAAAAACACACCATCGATCGAGAGCTTGACTTAGTTGATCAGCTTCTCGGAAGACGAAAGCCCCTGTCAAATTGTTTTTAGATATGGAATGTTGGAGGCTGTTGAGATGCGCTCGCTCGATAAATGGATAATCAGACATCTTCAAAAAAACAACTACAGCATAACCCATAGGTACACGATAGAAACAAGAGAACTGCTTTTAGGCAGCAGATAAAACTTGTAAATCGATTCATTAGAACTAGAAGTAACGGAATGAAGGCAAATAAAAAACATTGATACAATGACAACAATGTGAGTTTTCCAAACCCTATTTTACTTCTAGAACAACCGCCTTATTCTGGTCAGAAAGTGTTCCCGCGTGCCGAACAGGGATATAAAACGGGGTTTCTCTTTCAGTCAAGACCTTTTTTTACTTTCGCTTTTACAAGAACCGTCCTTCATATCTGCTATACATATCCCAGCAATTCCTGTTTTCGACTTCTTTCTTCGCACGCATCATCCACATAGGTCATCCAACTCTTCGCGTGTGGCTCCTGTTTAAGGATTTTCCTTTCGTTATGAATGTCATTGAATGCTGGTCGAATAGATTCTCCTTGGAGACCTGAGATAGCCGGGCTAAAGCGTACCCACTTGAATTTCAGAGAGTGAATTTTTCCAAACAAGCCCGGTACTAAGTTGCCAGCCCCGGAGGGATGAGAGGGTTGGTCAGCATGGAGCCGGATTGAACCAGCACGGTGCTCGCATGTGATGACAGGCATCACCGCCACTCTGCTATCCACTCCCTCCAGTAAGAACTACTATGCTTAAGATTAGTCCAGAATTCTCAACTGCAACCAAGCCCTAGTATAAGTGCAAATGTGTCATAGCGGAGCCAGACTAACCACCGATGTGTGTATCCTCGCCACGGACAGCAAAAATAAAGGGTCTCATACCATAAGGATACTTTTTACTCGTAGCGTTGTCAAGCAATAAAGGTAAAGACAGAGTTACACTGTTTCAGTTATTCCACTTTTTTTTACAACACCAGTCATCACGCATTGTATGGATCCCAGCACTCCACCCATTCAATTTGTTTTCTCGCATCTATCATCCACAACGATCTTCAGATTTGCTTGTGTGTTTCCGACCGCTGTTTGGGAATTTTCGGGCTTATTAACGGCAATGAATACCAGTCGATTCTTCTGGAATTCTGACGTAGTAGTTCTGGAGTGTTAACAGGTCTTCACCACAAGGAGTTGTCAGCGATTTTGTGGATTAGGTGGAGCTATCTGAATCCAGACGAATAAGATACACATTTTTTGACCGCGGAAGGATGGTAAGCTTGGTTGGCCTTGGTGAGTCGAAGCTGGTGTGCGCCTGCTCGACGGCATCACTACCATTAGGCAATACTCGCCCTAATATTTAGTTAAAGGATAAAGGACAAAGGATAAAGCTCTCAGCATTGCCCAATCCTTTAGGTATGCGCCATATGTCCGAGTTCACTAAGCATTGCTAGAGGTGACTGAATGCATATCTGGCCTATATAAATGACCCATATTGGCCTACTAATGTATAGAGCCCGTGCTCCTATCCTCCCATACAAGCTGGTAGCAACTTGCCCACCCCGGAGGGATGAAAGGCTTAGTGAGCCTGGGGCGCTCAAACCACTGCGCTACACTCGTCCCAATATCTAATCACCAATAAAAATGCAGATAACAAATGAGACATATATTTCATAATTATGTACTGTCAATATGCCGTATACAGTACACATTACCCGCAATATGTCAACGTTGCAAGGGTTGAACGAACTGGGTTACAACGCTCTCATTCAGCACACTACCAGTACTCCTTGCTTACCGACAATGATTTCGCCAACCTCGCCGACAGCTTCCCATGTGAGAAACGCCTCAGAAACCAAGTCGGTGCCAAAACTACTTTCAGCGATTTCATCTCGTCATTTTAGAGTTTTATGCAACCAAAATGACTAAATTTGTTCCTTCTAGAAAGTAATATGTATATTCTAATGGTTCTCACTTCCATTAGTAAAGTTAGACCTGAGCTTAGACACGCCATCTTAAGGAATACAAAGTGAAATTCCGTATTAATTTCCGAGCAACCTAATGTAATTTCACCTAACAGTCAACGTGTTCCAAAATAAATAGCGACAAGAAGCAACTTCTTACCGATTCACATTTTGCCATTGCCTGAAATTCGGCTAGACTTCCACTCAATATACGACCGTTGAATTCCTGGATAGCATACGGTTTTCCGGAAGAGTTCAGCGGTGGGAATTCCAGCAATGACATTCTGGAAGTAACAATGGTAAAAATTGAATCCTAGAAATAAGACGTAACTACGAAGTCTACCTTTCAATTACAAACAAAATTACAAATTGAGATAACGAAGAGAGAGAAAACGGATCGCTGGAGAAAGAATGGAGAGGCTTTTTGTTTTAGAAAATTAAAATTTGAATCCAACCTACTAGCGCGCCAAAATCTTGTTTGGAGCGCGATATTATTCCCTCAATTATTTTACTTCCTTTAATATTTCGTGCCTTTACTCAGATTCTCATTTTTGGAAAAGGAAAAGGGGGGGGGGGGGGGGGGGGGGGGNGGGGGGGGGGGGGGGGGGGACGAATGCTTATTCTCGACAGAAGAATTCTAAGTGGAAAGCTGGAATCATAGCTTAATAAATCTACTTAGTGGTGCGCATGTTTCATTTCTTCTTTGTTTGAACTTATCTGCTTCCTTCTTCAGATTAAGTCGTCATGCTTGTCACCTTTTGATATTCGAACATCTTCTTCACTTCATCAAGTCTCTGCAAACCGATGTTTTCTCGGTGACCAATGCATCTATTTGTTTTTGTACCATTTTTTCGCCGTTGGTTTGCTCATTCACAGGCTTTCAGAGAGGATTAACTACGAGTATTAATTCTCAGTTCTAACTGTTTACTTTTTCATTCATGAGACTTTTAATTCGGATTGATTATGTCTTGTGTTTAGTTTTCCACTTCTTCAAAGGTACCTGTTCAAATTCTTGTACGGTCATTCGAGTTTTGTAAAGATATTTTTTTCGTCTTCTCATTGGAGAATATTTGACTACATTGTCGTTTACAGAGCAATTCAGTGATTTAAGGAAATAGGTGGAGTCCATACTGTAATGGTCTAGCTATATGTGTCAAGGTCGAGAAGTCAAAATGATAAACAACTTAGCTCCAGAGTTGAGCAGCAGGTAAAAGGGAGCAGCATGGGGAGCTTTCAAGACCATCCAAGATGTAACAAGGGGATAAAGAACACTCGACTCCCGGCTCACCTTTTCGACTGCACGATTCTCCTTGTCTTAAACTATGTTAGAAACTTGGTCGCTAAAAAAGCGGAATGAAAAACCACTCAACGTCATAGAACACACACAGTTGAAAGGGCAGTGCTAGGATTGTACGATATCACCCAATTGATAGGGGAGTGCGAAGTTATAACCTATGTCAACGAATTAGAGACGCCATGATAAACGCCAAAATGTCGAAAATCGGGTGGGCAGGTTTCTTGATGCGTCTGAACGACAACTGATGGACAAGAGCTGTTAGCGAGTGAATTTTTCGGGATTACAATGGTCAGAGTTGCTTACGAAAAGCCCTAGAAGGAAGATATGTTGCTCAACGACTCCCTAAAGCGGGCAGAACCCACTGGGTTGCTCTATCATGCTATAGGGAAAAATGGAGGATTTACTGGCGCCTACTCGAATCATTTGACGATCAACGGAACTACAGGTGATATAGTTGAACTCAGAGTGATCCACTGATGTATAAAAGGTAGTGTAAGGTCCTAAGAGCGTGGCAGAAGAGGTGGATGTTCATAGTTCAATTGCCTGAGCTTCTGACTGGTGATCAACGAAGCATGAGAGTGCACTGTCATGCAATTAGTATGTGATCCTTGCGATTGACATGTGTTGACCGCATTTCCTCAAGTAATGTGTATTTTCATCACGTGGTTATACTGTGATTTTTATGGAAAACTCTATGGAAAGTAAAATTCGTAAAAACATAGTCTTATTGACGTTATGGTCCACCGTCTTAGATCGCTCAGCTTATCCTCTGCTCATTCAAGGACTGGCGCCCGGCAGGAAATTTCGCATGTTCTGAAGTAAAAGTCTACTATTGTGCATTCTCTCTAGGATCGTTTTGCAATCCCAGCCGCTAATGTTGTCTGAATGCTGAAGTTCGGAACAAACTTGTCCAGAATTCGGTCATGCCTGTAATAGAAAGAAGCGCTTTCTATCAAATAAGAACCATAATCGGCGAAATGTATTTGAGTTCACATTGTATGACTTTTTATTTACTGCCTACTATTCTTCTTCCATGGCAGGTGTTACGTGAAATACAACCATGATGATACTGAGATATTTGCAAAACTCGGACGAGAGGCCTAATTCGAACCCACGATCACTCTTTCCGAAGGCTCGCATGTTACTTACTGCACCACTGAAGTCCTTGTTTTGTGTTTCTCCAACCCAGAAAAAAACTGGCTGAAAGAAAGGCAAAGAGATGGCCTCAGTGGTGTAGTGGGTAACACATAAGCACCCGGAAGAGGTAATCGCGGGTTGGAATGTGGTCTCCGGTCTGAGTTTTGCAAATATCTCAGCGTCACTGTGTGTTTGGATTGTTAACACAGGAACAATGAACAATAACGATCGGAAATACTTCCATTCATTGTGATGACTGATTTTACTGATATTCAACTATCTCGCAATGGCGTAGTATTTGTGTTCTAACTGATGTGTGAGATTAACACGTTACATTGCTTTTCCTATCCCTTGAATTCGTCATCGATAAAACATCATTCCGTCATTTCGTTGTCTTAGTCGCTCCCCTGTCTCAGATCTCTCTTGGAAAAAGTTATCTATGTTTTTCGAATGACTGATTGCTTATGAGGAGATCGTATGCATATTGGGTTATTCTCCAGTACTCCTGAGAAGAAAGAGCAGGAAGGTTATTTCATTCCTAGAGTTGTTGATTTTTCTTCGGTGAGTGAACATTATTGAATGTGTGCTGGATAGAGCCGTAGCGATCTCTCCGGAAATGTCCCTCGGCACAGGATCCTATGACTCCGTCCATGCAGTTTAGAAGATAGGACGTTTGGTGTTGATCAATCTCCCCTTGGAAGTACTCGCGCACTCAACGCCCTTAACATCATAGAGCTGATTTAATGTATATGTCGTCCAAAGGATGAGTTAGGAAGGACTAACAAAGTATAAAGTCGGTGTTGTTTTTATCCTTCCGTACACCACCTTTGTATTTATAAGGCATCTCTAAGCACTTCCTTACACACACCGTTCTCCCCATACCTATTTGCCTGGATACATAGATGGGCCTTCTTCATTCGTACTGTGAACCTCAGCACATTTTCCATTCGCTTCTTTCTTGTGCAATCGTCATTCGTTGTGGTGATTCACTTCAAACATCGTGATATCTGCCAGATCTCTGTTCTGGGCATATCCTGTTATGAACCATTCAACCAAGCTTATACTGTAATGATGCTGATATATTTGCAAAATTCCGGGCAGCAGGTGACTACAGTGAGGACCGAACACGCTATTACCCATTCTGGGAGCTAACCTGTTCACCACCAAACCATGCGCGTCCTTCGTTTCGCCTGTCTCTCACCTCTTTCTATCGATCTTTTTGCCACAGCAATCACCCGTCAGCGCGGTTGATCTGGGGAGCGCAAATCGGCATAGAACCCAGTCCTATAGCTGTAGTTGAAATCACAATGTTTTAACGTTTTGTTTTCTGCCTTCTATAATTTTCATGGCAGGTTACTAAGCGAAATACAACCACAACGTTGCTGAGATATTGTGAATCATTAAATAAACGTCATTGTGAATTCAACTACAGCCTCAACTTAACTGGGTTCAATGCCGATGTGGGCTCCCCAAATCAATCCTGTTGACGGGTGATTGCTGACGGCACAGATCGATAGAACTAGTTGAAGGACAGGCGTAACGAAGGACCCGCATGGTGTGGTGGTGAACGCGTTACGCCCCGAAAAGGAAAATAGCGCGTTCGTTCCTCACCGCAGACACCTGCGTTCCGGAGTTTTGCAAATATCTCAGCAATCTTGTGGCTATTTACTTCTTTTGTATAAAGGATAAAAGGATACAGCGTTTGGCTATCATCAATCCCAACGGATGCACCACACATTCGACTTCACTAAGCATCATTAAAGATGACTGAATGAATATCTGGCTTATACATTGACTTGTCGCAGCCTACCGATCTATCATATCAAGAACGACATCGTGTGTATCGCAGCACATCCCTAACCACTCCGTTACACGGTTGGTATGGCGACAACGATCCCAGTGAGGGATTTTAGGCTTGGAATAAAAACTGTGGAGAAGTTATGTGTTTAAAAGTAGTGACGTTTCTTTGAAATTAACTAAGAAATTTGTTGATTATTTCTTTCATAATAGTACAAAGTGAAAGAGCGACTGCGTCCAATGTCATAGAAATTTATCGGGAATACAATCTGCCTCTTTTCCTGACTTTTGTCGACTATGAAGACCGTTTGACTACGCTGAAACGAATGTATTCATATTAGTGCGAATCGAACAAAGAGAGAACCTGTCCTACATAAGAATTCTAGTTGACTGTTATCGAAACTACTTCATAAAGACACAGCTTTTTCCTTCACACCCTATCTGTCTGAAAAGAGGCAGACTGTATTTCCGATAAATTTCTATGACATTGAACGCAGTTCCTCTTTCGCTTTGTATGACTATGAAAGAAATAATCAAAATCAACAAATTTCCTAGTCAATTTCGTCTCCGCATCTTACCCATAGGAAAAAGGGTTCACAAGGCGACACCATCTCACTAAAGCTTTTAACCTTCGCACTGCAATGGAAAATGTATTCGGTTGATTAGAACGAGAAGTTATTCGTACTGATGGAAAATCTCTATTTAACGTTCGTTTTGCGGATGACATCGTTATCTTTTCGTGGAGTACCAGTGAAGTAAACACGATGCTCAATGAACTCAACGAACCGCTAAGAAACGCCGGGCAACGCGTAAATCGGGTGATAACCCAGTTAATGAAAAATCCTTGATGCGAACACGATCATATCGAAGTAGATGGTTCGCTGATTACAGAGATCATAGAACATCCAATCTGGACGTGCGAGGTGGTCATCATATCATGGGTATCACCTTGTGCATGTATGTTGGACGTTCAGTGAACATAAAGAACAACGTGAAGAACGAATTGAGTAGAAGAAAGAAAGCGGCATTGGCCGTATTCGTGCCACTCAAATAAACCATCGACTAACTAGCAGACCCTGAACTCCTTGCTCACCTTTCCAACTCATTGTTCCTTTCACCACTCTGTTATGTAGCAGAGACGCATGCTGATAATTCAGCTGCGCCCAGAATTTTGCGCTGCACCCAGGGAGCGTTCAAACGATGTGTTCTGAGGTATAACGGGAACGTACAACTTCTAAGTGGATGCGAAGCTATGATCTTCGCATCTATCTCATCTTCAAAAACTGGAAGAATTCACAACATAGATGGGCGGCCATGTAATAAGAGCACCAGATGACTGATGGACGAAAAGGACAGCAGAGTGGACTTCAGGTGGATGTAAATTACTACACTTGCACAAGTCGAAACATACCCGAAGCAAAGCGCCACCAATTGAAATGTGCTGAGGTCCGTACTACTTGTGAAGACGAGCATTCCAAATATCTAGTAAAGATAGTCGACAAGATGTTGTAGTCATCGAAGAGAATGTGTGGAAAACAAAAGAGAAACTCGAAACCAGCAGAAACCAAGTCAGACCGTTGAACCTCATTCATATACAATGTCGTTTATGTCTTCACCAGAAATTTTGACAGTTATTAGTGATTTTCTGCCATTGTTTCGTAGTATTTCCACAAAATTGTTGATTTTGTATTGAAAATAAACCGGCAATGGCGATAAAACGATGTTCGCCGCCGCCCGCCAATGATAAGGTCGGAGCAAGGTAAAGTGGGTGGAGCACGGTGGTGGAGAGAGTAGGCTCGAGTTCACGACGAAGTGTATAAATTACTTTCGTCCTTTCTTACTTGTCTGTTCTTCTGCCAAACGACCATGGATACCGCAGGTAATAAAAGGGTGTATTTGAAAATTCTCATATATTTTTAACGTTCACTTCCATTTACTTTTCATCGACTTGTTTTCAATTCTGTTCATAAAGAAATTTGAAGTTCTCAATTGTAAGCAGAATTCAACCTTACTAAATCGATCCCGCCATCGATTTTCGTCATAGTAAACAATTCTGATACGAAACCGATAAAGCCAAAACTGTTTTCCACGCTTCGCTTCCTAGCTTCGCAAAATCGAAAGAACTGCAAAGCTCCCGTTTTTTTCGTCTTATCAATAACATAAATGGATGTAAAAGCATAACATTCCCACTAAAAGTACAGCCGGAACGTCTCCGCTTCCAGTTCTTTGTTTACCATCTTCCTATCAGTTCACCGCACTTATCTCATCTCATCTACCTACTTTTCGTTGATAACAGCACTGTAATGAGCGTTTTCTTGTGCATAAACCGGTGTCATATGCATCAGACTCTGCGGATCCTAGGACTTCTTGCATTTGATTCGTTTCTTTGCATCCACCGACCACGGTCTTCGAACTTTTTTTCCCGCATAGATTCCATTGCTCCTTGAAGGTTATTCCGTGTTCGTCATGGACGCCGCTAAACACTGGTCGGGTCTAATGTCTTGCAATCTCACGGTAGCTGTACTAAAGTGTACCCGCGTAGATTAGAACTGAGCTTCTCTGAGACAAGTCTGGCACCAATTTCCCAAGCCCGGAAGGGTCTGGTGGGCCGTCTGTGTAATAAACGGGATCACTACCACGGTGCTACTCGCTTTGTTTGTGTGACTAGAAGATCCTTGGAACCTTTACTCTTGTCTCTAAAAATGTATCAGTTTAACTACCTTAACTACCCTACGTATCAGGTCCTTCCAATAGTACAGCAGATACCTTTGCTACAGAACAGTCGTCTTACCGGACGACGAATTTGATAAAGAAAACTGCAGAGGATCATCTTTTCTTAGGTTTTTAAGTATTCCCGCGCCACATCAGCTCATGCAACGTATGCCTTTACAGCAGGAACATATGCGGCGTGTGTAGCACAGTGATTAGATGTGGTACTGGACTTGTCTGGCAGATAAAGACACTGGTCTGATCCACTGGTATACTTCCAACAGTTATTCATTGCGAAGCCACCACTAGAATAAGGATAAAGGATAAAGCTGTTTGCGGTGATCAATCCCTGAAGGATGTGCCATGCATTAGACTTAGTTAAGCATCATCTGGAGGTGATTGAATGCATATCTGGCCTTTACAATGACTCGCGGTGTTCTACCGATGTATCGAGCCAGTGCTGCTACCCTCCCAGAAAAGTCTGGTACCAATTTGCCGACGCCGGAGAAATGGAAGGTTTGGTGAGCCACGGGCGCGGGGATCGATCCCTTGTGTATCTTGCTGAACGCCTAGCCGCCGACATAGAGACCCATTGAGTTACTTCCGCTATGCCCAGTGAGGTCGAGCATCCCTTGTGCTCATCCATAGTGAAAAAAATAGTGCAAAAGAAATGAGCATTGAGAAGATTTTCCGAAATTGCGACCGAAAGTGATGAAGTGCCACGTTTTTGTATCTTAACTATCACAGCGATTATCAGACGACCGTCAAATAAATTGTTATCTAAGTTGTTATCGACAATCACCAGGTCAGACGAACGTCTCTATCGAAGTGACGAAACTTTGCACCGCATTCGTGTTTTTGTCACATCCGTGTGAAAGTCTGAACTTGTGGAAATGATATTTGTACTTTTTGCCGTAGAACAAAAATTTATGGTTCTCTTTCTAAGTAAAGACCGGTCTAAATTTATCCACTAGACATTTTCATGGAGCCTTCGAATTTTCGGTTTTAATAGCTTTTCGAATTGATATGTACGTCTACCGTATCCCCTTTTAAATAAGCACGTCTTTTTTGCGAAAATCTTTCGGAGTACTCGGAAATGAATTTGAAAGAAGAAAATTCAAAGATTCCACTTTTCAGCGTTTGTTTCTGAAATGTTCTGAACAGTATAATTGATTTCTAATGAAGTGGAATAATGAAAATGTATGAATTTTTAGGTTATGAATATATGGAGACAGCAGTGAGGGAGGCCTGTGTCGGGCTGGAGTCGGGCGACGGTGGTCCGTTCGGAGCGGTCGTTGTTCTCGACGGAAATGTCGTCGCTACCGGACACAACATGGTCTGTTCTTTTTTTTCGATTTATATGATCGTCTGTTTTTCCGTTACGTAAACTTCCTTACAAACAGAAGGCCTTCGTTGTCACCGTTGACGCAGATCGTAGTAATACTAGAACCTAAATTAGAAGCCTTATGAGTGATTCCCTACAGTCTAAAGACGACTCTGCTGACTTGATAAGTAAACTTTGAAACGATTGAGGTACTACGATATGAGTTTAGTGCATCACGTCCTTAATAACAAATATAACAATTTTTTAAACTGTAGAAGTTTGAATCTAAAAATAACAGTTCCCAGGATCGACTTTCTCTTAACCTCGGCATTGGAATATGAATGCGTCGTTTTCTTGTTCAGCAATCGCGCGGTTTTTAAACAGCATACATTTACTTCCATAGAAAAACACAATACAATACAACGCTAGCTGACGTTTCGGCAGTATCGCCTTCTCCAGAGCCTGGAAGGGTATACTGATATACAATCTACTAGGCCAAACGCTTCAATAACACTTACAGAAAGATGAAGAACTCTATGGTAATTACATGATGAACGGCTTCTCGAAAAACACCGGTTTTTTCGTGACTTCCAATGAGGAAGTTTAGAACAGCTGATTATAGTCGCATATGGTTGACGACTGCACCATCCCACATTAGAAATTGATGCGAACATACGGGATCAGGTTGCGTATGACCTCCGGGCATTCATCCCTGCTATTCATTGTAGGGTTTTTGGCATTTATGCAAAAAGTTTCAAGAAGTTTTCGCGCTGGTGTTTTAGTCTCCTGTGCAAGGGTATTGACTTTTACTTCAAAATCGTCTCCGCTATGCTTTTGTATCCTATGCGTGCCTAATGGGGTACTCTGTCTTAGTTTTCGTTTGCCATCTAGGTGTTCTTTTATACGGATACACAAAGGTCTGCCCGTTTCGCCAATATATTCATCTCCGCAATTATTACAAGCGATCAGGTATATCGTACCTGAACTCATGCAATCACCGTCCCTGCCGTAAGGGCAAACTACGCAATTTATTGTTTCACATCCCCCCGGGACGAATGCCCGGAGGTCATACGCGACCTGATCCCGTATGTTCGCATTGATTTTTGATGTGGGATGGTGCAGTCGTCAACCACATGCGACTATAATCAGCTGTTCTAAACTTCCTCATTGGAAGTCACGTAAAAAGCGGTGAGCTTTCAAGAAGCGTTGATGATGTATTTACTGTAGAGTTCTTCCTCTTTCTGTAAGTGTTATTGAAGCATTTGGCCTAGTAGATTGTATATCAGCATACCCTTCCAGGCTCTGAAGAAGGCGATACTGCTGAAACGTCAGCTAGTGTTGTATTGTATTGTGTTTTTCTATGGAAGTAAATGTATGTTGTTTAAAAACCTCGCGATTGCTGAACAAGAAAACGACACATTCTAAAAATAACCTCCAAATCTAGATGAAACTCCACTCAAGAGACGATCACTTTATTTTCTCATAATGATTTTTTTCGCAATGGTTCACCTTTTATTTTCTGCCTGCTATAATTTTTGTGGCAGGGTATTAAGCGGAATTCATCAGCAGCCTCAGCTTCACTGGGTTCAATGCCGATGTAGGCTCCCCAGATCAATCCCGTTGACCGGTGATTGCTGACGGCACTGATCGATAGAACTAGCTGAGAGACAGGCGAAACGAAGGACCCGAATGGTGTGGTGGTGAACGCGTTACTCCCCGGAAAGGACAATAGCGCGTTCGTTCCACACCGCAGACACCTGCCGTCCGGAGTTTTGCAAATATCTCAGCAATCTTGTGGTTTTTTTTGTTTATGGAGCATTGCTTTTTTCCCTGTCATTCCTATTGGGCATCCATACAGAAGAATGAATCCACTAAAATGAGCTTCTCTAAAAGCTGTTGGTTATAGATGAAGCTTTAAAAGCTCAGGGCGTCCTTCGCCCGTATTGCTACGCCACACACTCGACTCTATAAAACGTTGTAGGAGAGACTGGATGTATATCTGCCCTCTACAATGACTCGCGGTGGTCTACTGATGTACCGAGTTAGTGTTTCTATCCTTTCAGACAGGTCTGATACTAATTTGCCGAACTCCGAGGATGGAAGGGTTGGTGATCCTTTCGCATTGGATTAAACCAACGAATACGTGTGTGTTGCAAATCACAGCTAAATTTCGCCCTGCACACGTCCTTCATCTTTCATCATTTAGTTCCCAATAAACTGTCCCACTTTTCTCATTGCTGTTGTAAGGTTTGATTTGTCCCGATTTTTGTTCGAGAATACCAGTACCAATCGTTGTTCATTGCCATCTAGAAATGCAAAACAAATAGTATGATCAGTTGCATTCTTTGCGCTCAGCTGGAATTATTCTAAGTTGGTAACAGGGAAACGTCCGTGGACATGCAGGCGAGTTTAAGCGCTGTAAAACAATTGTTGTTTGGAGCGCGTGTAGCCTGCAATATATCCACATGTGGTGTTTGTTTCGATCCTGTTCCTCAGGTTCAGCGAGTCTGCCATCCCTTCGGAGCCAGCAAATTGGTAGCAAATGTGTCGGAGATAACAACACCCACTTGACACATCGGTATGCCATACGAAGTCATGAATAGGCCAGATATATTTCGGATCGAGCCTACTTTTGAGCTCTCAACAGTCAAGTTGATTGCAATCTACTCAACCAAATACTTCCATAACCTTAACAGGAAAATGTGAGACCTAAATTTCAATTGTATTAGAAATATTATCGTCTTTGTACAACGAAAAACTGCGTAATTTGCCCTAACGGTAAAGACGGTGATTGCATTAGTTGGGCTATAGTCTTTCTGATCTCTTGTAAAGGGTGCGGGGGCGAATACGTTGGCGAAACGGGTAGACCGCTCTGCGTTCGTATAAAGGAGCACCTAGTCGGCAAACGTAAGCCAAGTACTCCACTAGGTACGCATAGCACGCAGAAACATAACGGAGAAGATTTTGAGGTAGGAGTCACTATCCTTACGCAGGAATCGAAAACATCAGCGCGAAAAACTCTTGAAGCGTTTTGGATCAATGCCAAAAATTCAAAAATGGACCGCAAGGAGGAGTGTCTTGTCATCATGCGTACCTGGCGCCATACCTCAGGCTAATCCAATGACTTCACACAAGCACAGTCCTCGCCCATGTATTACTCTGTGCGGCTGCTATCCATCAACTAACTTAAATACTTGCAACAAATAAACGGTAGGTGTTTAAATGAAGCTGTTTTTATGCGAATGCAAACCTATTTTTTAGGTTTTATCTGCTGCTGGGGTTATGAAAGTGTTTGGCTGAGTAGATCGCATCTCATTTTGACGTTTCCAGGCTTTGAAGAAGGCGAAACCACCGAAACGTCAGCTGTTGTATCCTAGTAAATTCTATAATAACAACCTCGGGTCTGATTATTGAAGAAAAACATCGTATTAGAAACAGGTTCTTCAAACACTCAGCGTTTCCTACCGGTATTCCACTTGATCTTATTATTGGTAACTTTTGAAGAAGGTGAAATCCGTCGAAACGTCAGCTTTTGCGGAAAAATAGTGTAATAACGGGTTTATTTTCACTGATCAAGAAAACTGCAAATTATTGATCAATGCCGAAGTTAGTAGAAAGTCGGTCCTAGGAATTACTTTGTTTCATCTTTTTAAATTTTACATAACCAGACATCACATACTGTGCGAATCCAGCACTTCCTTGATTCGATCCGTTTCCTCGAATCCATTATGCATAAAGGTTTTTGCACTTTTGCATGTAGGTTTGATTACTGTTTGAGGATCGTCATCTGGAATATCCGGCCTAGAGCGCTTCCACTTGGATCGAGGTGTACCCAGATAACTCTGATACTAATTTACCGGACACTCGAGAAATGACATACTTGGTTGACTTATATGTGGTCGAACATATTAAACGGCGTCATTGACGACATTTGCACTTTGCATTTCGTCGACGTGGACGCATTTCTGCATTTTGTGACCAACTGTTTGTTCGTGTGGCGATTCAGTGAAGTTAATGCGTGGAGACCACACCTCTACCGTATACAGGAAAAAACTACTTGATGGCATTCGGATGAATTGTTCCAGACAAGCGAGAAAGTGTGCCTTACCACTAGGGCGCACTGTTATCAGTCTTCTAAAGTGTTCTTTCCAGTCTTTACCATCTTTACTGGAAGACCAGAGAAACAAAGTGGGAATTGATGAATGCCGTTTCAGGTTTTTGCAACGAATGATCCTACAATGCATGCTGAAGTGGTCGCGATCAGAAACGCCTGTAAGAAAGTCGGTACGTTCATGCTTCAGTTGGCGAACGCATCCACGCCACAGACAACGATCATGTCCAAATTGCTTCTTTGGTTGCAACAGTAAGTGGACACCTACACGTTGGAAAAATGTTACCGGACAGTTTTGCTGGGTTTGCGGTGGCGTTGCCTTTCGGAGCTGCGGATTAGCATGACGGAGCGCGAATTGTCTCGATAATAGACGGTACAGGACAAATTATCCGGTAGCCTTGCGGTTTCGGCACTTACAACCACTCTATCTATCATATAAAAAGTGTCGCAGTGTTCAAATATCTGATAAGGAGATAAAAGGCACTTTGTGAGACTAGGGAATTAATAGGAGCAACCTTTCCTCGTATTTCGCCCCTCACATTTTCTCAAACATTAGCTGAAGTGAAATTTAGTTAACTAATGAAATAAGACACTTAGAGGTATTGCTACTTTGGTACTTTTGTTTTTCATCTCGCTCTGTTCTTTTATTGCTGCGAATTACCATCTAATATGTAAATAAAATAGCCGAATCAGAATTAACCCACAACTCGAAGTGGATCGACTTCATCAGTAATTGATTCTTGTACTTAATGTTGCAGTATCCATTATTTTCATTATTCATTATATTCAAATTTTTTGTTATTATAATTGAGCATACATATTAGTTTCATTTCCTATCCCTTTTCGATTTGATAGCCTTCGATCTGTTTAGTGAATGAAGATGAGAGTTATACTTAGGCAATTATGACCTGTCCGGTTGTACCCTGTATACTTCGTGCTACCCCTGTCCGATGTGTATGGGAGCGTGTCTGTGGGCCCGTCTCAGTGCCATCTACTACTGCGCTACAGATGCAGAGGTACTATTATACTATTTGTCGTAGTTTATTACTTCTACTACCAGTTCTAGCAGTTAGTTCTAGCGCTTTTTTTCAGTTCAGTTTTGACGAGTTTCTATTAGTTCTGCTTTTTAAGGCTTTTTGTCAGTTTTTTTTGCTACTTGTTCTATTTTCTCTATGAAATCAACAATCACACCGTATTACTAACGATAGGCCTTCATCATAAGAAATAATAAAATGAGATCAAACTTCAAGAAGACTAGACTTTGAAGAAGACTTCAAATTCAAACCTTCCCATGTCATCTTCGGAAAAGGGTGGTCAACTTCATGAAGACAAAGCGAACACGGCTTTTTCATCGTATTTATACCTACTAGTGGATAGTTTCTTTCTGTTGGATAAAAAACGATTCATTGGCAGAATTTTGACAATCTGATCGAGTTTCCAGTCACTTTTTGGAAAAGTGTTACCCATAGGCGTGTATATCAACTGTTTTCTTGAACATTGCTGGTCACGGAATTCTCTCGATTTCTAATTTTAACAAAGTCGTTAATTCTCAATATTTAGGACGTTCTAGGCATCTGAGAGCGCGTTTAGCGCAGAGGTTAGCGATGCCCTGTGATACACACGTGATCATTGATTCTACCCCGTGCCCTGGCTTCACCAAGCCTTCCATCCCACTGAGGTCGGCAAAATAGTGCCAACTAGTCTAGGAGGATAGCAGCACCCGCTTGATGGATCAGTGGGCCACCACAGGTCATTCAGTAGGTCATTCACTAACAATACAGTATAAATTCAACCACTTCATCGACTCTTTATGAAGTCGGTTGCATGGCGTATCCCTTAGGGATGGACCATTCATCCTTTTGTTTAGGGATCCTAAGGTGTTATCGTTAATATCCAATAGGAAGAATATAGAGATTTTAGAGCTGAACAGTCGCTTAGGAATGCGTCATGCCTTCGAATCAATTTGTGGCATCGTAGGCTTCTCACACTCAGCAAGTGATGGAGACTTGCCGACGTACGAAATTTGTGTTTTTATAGGTGTATTGAACGGCATTAGTACAACTGCTGTACCCTTCCCACTTTCCATCTAGAGAACAATGTCATGCCAAGTGTCAGCTATAGAATTCTTCTGATAATATCCATAACTAAGCCGTATACTGCAGGCAACTACGGCCGGCTTCGACGACAAGCCATTCCATGATTTCCTCAAAAATCCGCGTTCCGATGAAAAACGGTGAGAAGCTTTGCTTTATCTAAGAAATTTGTAATTGGATGAAGGTTTTCAGACGAACTGAAAGAAAGCATTCTTAAATGGAGGGTTTCTTAACTAGATTCTTGACATTATGGAACAAATTCAGGAAACTGGAACGCCTGATTGTTGCTGACTACCTCAAACCCTTCAATCTATGGATGAAAAATGCCAATAAAAAGATCTAAATCTTTCTTAAATCTGTTGCCAACGAGGTTGTGTTTACAACGTTTTATTTTCATAGAAACATTCAATAAACCTGTCAAGCATATCAACGCGTAGCACATGAAATATGTTCAGTGACAAAATTACTCTTCACTTGCCGTTCTTACAACACTTTTGGTACGAGTGAACTCTATAGAAGTTATACTGAAATTGCGGGAGTGGCTGATGTGACCTCCATAGGTGTCATTTTCTTTCCGATGGTTTACTTTAACACTTAGAGCTGTTTTCTTACAATTCTTGCAGTCAATCGATAACTTATCCAGTGCAAATGGTATGGTGGGCATGATCCATTTGAGAATACTCCTTTAGGAATTTCTCACTTGATTTCTCATTTTGCGATGAAAGACTATTGAGTTGTTGAGGAAGGTGTGCCCAACGCATGCGGTGTGCAGCATCATTCTTGACAAGAAATTATTTGTTTTCTAATTTTCAATCACTATGATGACTACAAAGCGCCTATGGCACACTGGTTGGGGGGGGGGGGGAAGGTGGTGGAGCCGGGGAGCCCTGTGATACACATCGGGTGGGTCGATCCCCGCGCCCCAGAGCTCACCAAGGCTTCCATCCCTCCGGGGTCGGGAAATTGTTACCGGACCTGTCTGGGAGGACAGCAGCACTGGCTCGATACATCCACAGGCCACTGTGAGTCATTGTATAGGCCAGATATGCATTCATTCACCTCCAACGATGCTAAATGAAGTGGAATGCACGGTAAATCCCGCAAGGATTGATCAACGCTGATAGCCTTTTTCATGATGACTTTAGGGAATTGCTGAGAATGGCAGCATATCATATCAAAATCACAAGGTCAACACTGTAGGAATTTTTCGTACAATACACCATTAAATGCTGATAGCAGTATGATAGCATAGTGGGCGAATTATTTCTTTACCACACACAAGAGTTGTGTATGCACCAAAAACATGGGTGTATAAACACCATCCTGGAGCATATATAGGATAAAGGAAAGCGCGGAAATTCTAGCAAAATGTGGAGAAAAACTGATTTCGCTACCATAAAAACTTCTGCAGTGGCCGATGTGACATCTATAGGTGTCACAATGAGCATAGCGATAAACTAGCCGTCATCCACTCCACAACAAAACCGAAATTAGGCGTAGTGAGAGTGTTGCTAAGTGACACCTCTGTCCACACTAACTCTTACAGAATTTTCAGTTTCATACTTACTCTAAACGGATTTAACTTTAGACTAAACTCTACTGGAGTGATGTACTGGCGTAAATCCCAAAGATATTTCTTTAAACAAATAGTTTAACAGGTTTTCTTTTTAATGTGCCGATCTCCCGCAAAGATCTTCTGAAGTTTGTTTTTACTTCGAAACCGACTTACCTTGAACCTCGGTATCAATAATCAATATGTATTCTTTCTTTGATGAGCTGACACGAGGTTGATAATGATGTTTATTTTCGGCTAACGTTTCGACGTCTTCGTCTTCCTCAGAGCCGATGATCCGAGTCGATGGTCCTCGCTTGTTATTCGCATTATTATTCACCGGACATTATCATTATATCGACCATCAGCATCGTGTATAAAAGGGCATCACTGAGTAAGGATGCCTCATTCGAGGAGATGGCTCACTGAAGAAGACCTAATATATTTTGTATTTACTATTTGTCGCGTTAAGTGTGTGTCAGGAGAATCAAGCTTCATTTTTCTTCTTTTCTCAGCAAAATCCTCACTTGTGGAAAAGGCACTGCTCAATCTTCTTGCTTGAAAAGTGGGAACGTGTTCGCCACAGCTTTTCGGTCCATTGACAAACAGCTTGGAGGTTACCCATAACATGGCAGTCATGTAAATTCGGAGATTCCATTTTCCGACAGTGTTATCAGAGGTATAGATGAATTCCGTCTTTAAATCTATAACCACCTATAAGAGAACACCGATAGAAAGAACTCTCAGTGGCATGACGGATATAACAGATAGCAGATGTCCAGGAAAATGTGCAGATTGCCGGTTCATGAGATGGCCTTCATTCATATATGTTAACACTGCACGCAAAAAATCTGTCTACTACCAAAAACCAAATGACGATATATGTACGGCAGCGGTCATGCTCCAGTGCGGTCAAAGGTGTTTGATATTTCTACCTGGAAACTCATCTATGAATAAACTTATGACACTGCAGAAGCTAAAAAGCTAGCTATGGATACCCTCTTGCCAGAACAAGCAGAGGAAAAAGGGATCATGGATGACTATGGGTGATGCCACATGGAGTAGGGTAAACCGTAACTTTGTAAAATGTTAAAGGCAGGATGTCAAAGAGGTGACTGAAAATAAGTTTTGGTTTAAAAGAGAAGTGGAGTATATTGTAATTTTATACTAGATTTAAAAGAGAATAGCATAGAGGTAGTGAGAAACTGATTTTGACTAAAACTTCAGACGTTTTCAACGTGTTCAGTGGTAGTTCAACTACTGCCACTAATTGCTCTCTACCACCGCTTTTCGGCCACCATTTAATAGCAATAATTCGTTGGAAGTGAATCGGTTAAACTTACCTTGTATTAAATAACCATCTCCAATGAATGCGAATCAGTAGCAACTCTGTTTACTTGGATACTTGAATACTTGGATAGCCTTTTTTCACTGGTTGTGCGGGCCTCCGTTTATTATCCACTTTTCGGAGGTTTGCTAGTCTAGCGACTGTCTTTCCCTAGAGTACCGAGGTCAGTCTGGCCAGTCTGCCACACGTCGTCACCGCCCCAGGAAGACGCCGCCTTTTGAGCAATACAGTTTAATAGGGCTTAAAGGGGTGTCATGACACAAAACGATCATTCCGGTCCTGGTATGGTCACACTTAACCTCCTCTTTATATCCAGTGATAGAAGCGTCGTTATTGAGTCCTGAAATGGGTTTAGAGAAATCGATACCGGTGATTGAACTATCAATGAATGCTCTAGACGTCATCTAGCTCGCAACTGTTGGTGAAGAAACTCCCAAGTCCATAAAATAGCACCTCGTGTTTGCTGAACAGAAGTAGAAAGAATTGTTGGTGAAGAATTCCTGCCTCTGTGTACACAACATTGCATGGTTTACTTTTACAGCAAAGAAGAACAAAATACTGTAGATCTTTAAAAAGTTGCTCATCATGCGATCAAAATCTACTTAGGTGTTTAGATGAAGTGTCTTCACATGTCGTCGAAGGTACCAGCATCATTCATTCGTTTTGTAGTCTTACAATGTTGACGCATGGAGTTCGTCGAGTTCGGGTGTCTATTCGGCTGAAGCTTGAGAATCTGTAAACCTCTTTTCTCAATGACGTTCGACTGTGATTTATCACTGGCAATTAGGTATATCCACGTTGGAACTCTCAAGTCTGCACCAAGAGCAGTTGCCAGTCCAAGTGGATCGGTAGGAAGTCCGCTATCTTCCAACTCGGATTTTTCAATCGGCGACAGCGATTCCTGAGAATAGTTGACTGACCACTCGAGGATAGTGTAAAAAGTCAACTGAGAGATCAAAATTTTCATTCGGAATGTTTCCATCGAAGTTAAGAGAATATTGGCGAAGCGAATTGCTTTTTAACAAGACCCTGTCCAGCGTCTGAATACAGCGAATCCACTGGGAACTTAGCCACTGTGAAATAAGCCTTCCGGAAGCAACGCCGTGTTGGATCGCCAGGAAAACAGCAACGTGCTAATCGATACCGATCTAGAGGTTAACTATGGAGGATGTCGACAACTGTCACTCAATGGTCAAGGACAATATTCGTAATCTTAAGGAATCTCACAGTTGTGTGTCTGTGCGTCCACTTAGCCGTAAATTGACTGCTCTATAGATGACAAAGGGGTGCGACTGTGCAGGTGAATCCACACCAACCACTCTGCCTGTCACGGTGAAAGTCGGTTATTGTTCAAGCAATACCGATGAGAATGAAAGCGAACACGCAAAATTTTCTTGTAAAACATACCCGGTTTGCTGTAAAAAATTAAAGAGGACCAAGCCGAATCATGAAGCACCACGCCTTATAATTTCATATTAACTATTTTTAGCTGGTACAGATTACGGTGACTTGAATATGGTGTAGTCCGCGCGCCATTATGGGTTGTTTTTTTCGTCTATTCAACTGGAACGGTATGTGTATGAAGGTGGAGGCTTTGGAAGCATTCAAACGGTGCTGTGATGCTGTTTCTCCGTATTTCTGTGTGACAAAGTTAGGTACCTTCTCATCTGTTCTCAATTTGTACTCCTTTAATCATTTTGAATACAGCAAACTTTTAGGCGTTGCATCTCACGAAACAGGAGCTTACAGTATCAACGTCGTCGACTACGGTATCTCTGCCATTGTCTTCGGCCACTCGCTTTGTCATCGTTGCATTCGGGAAGGCGTCGGTCCTAATGACTTTGGCTGCGGAGAAATGCTTAGGACCGCGACTACTAGAGGGCATCGTGATCGCACCAGTTACACAAATTGACAAGTAAGTCTACAGTATCATAAACCAAGCAGAAAAACGTAGAAATGAAGCCATGTCATGTTGGGAGGGACATTGTATTGTGACTATATCCTTTCATTGATTTGCCGCTTCATTATTAAAAAGAGGTATTGGTGAGTAAGTACGTTTGTGGCACAATATCGGAGACGCCCAACAACACACATGGGATCGATCCCCTGGCTCCTGACCCACTAAGCCCTCCATCCGTACGGGCTGGGCAAGTTGCTACCAGACTTGTCTGAGAGGATAGTAGCACTGGTTCGATACATCGGTAGGCCACCGCGAGTCATTGTAAAGGCTATATACATTCAATCACCTCCAAACGATGCTTAAAGAAGTCGGATGCATGGCTCATTCCTCAGGGATTAATCAACGCCGAGAGCTTTTTTATCTTTTATTGGTAAGTATCCAACTGCGCTATACAGCAATAGGTTATCTCCAAGCGGACCAAGAAATTGGCAGTATTGCCGTCCGTGAGCTCAACTAGGATTAAACTTATGCCAGGATTCACTGCCATGATGGAAGGAAATTTGGTTGCGATTCATCGATCCTGGTATTTTCTTTGATTTTCTTTTAAAGAAATTGGAAACTACGATCCCAGATATTTTACGGTGCTCAGAACAACTTACCCGATGAAAACTCCGTTGCTGCCACAAGCAAAGCCCTTCAGTGCATTCAAAAGAGCGATGCAGTTGATGTTGTATTCCTGTTTCTCATTTCAGGTAAGCAGAAGCGTACAAACTTTTGCGCGGAGAAAGCTAGGACTTTCCTTAGACTTATTTGTCTAATCTAGATCACTTGTAATTAATGAGCCTTGAGGCTAGTTAATCTATCAAACTCATTATTTTGTGTTCGTTTTCATCACAAGCATGAGAGTTTGCGTGTTGCGCAGTGGTTGGAGGCACCCTGCAATACACATGGGATCGATTGCCGCGCCCCTGGCCACCAAACCCTCCATACCTTCGGGGTTGGCAAATTGCTACCAGACTTTTCTGGGAGTTCAGAAGCACTGGTTAGATACATCGGTACACCACCGCGAGTCATTGCAAAGGTCAGGTATGCATTCAGTCACAACGATGCTTGATGAAGTCGAATGCATGGCGCATCTATAAGGGGTTGACCAACGCCGAGAGCTTTATCCTTTTATGAGAATTTAAATAGCCTTACGCCTTTTTTTTCCTCGCAGCAGTGTATAGTTGTAAGTTCCTTCAAATCAAATTACCAGGCGGTGGCTCCGCTCTATTTTGTTCTCCGAACGGTGTGTCGCTTGAGGAAAAGCTCACAACAATTCGCACTCTTACATCTAATGGTGCTGACATCTGCGTCCTAAACGCTTTTCGACAAAGACTTTCAGTTGTGAAAGGAGGAAAAACGTTGAACTACATAAAGAAGGGACAGGTGCGTCTTACGAGTTTCTGACGTTTGTCTTCTTGAACAAAATATTAGTCCGATTTCTTATGTAGAATATTTCCAGGTGTTAAGTTTGCTCATGTCGGACTTGATCGATGACCTTATTCAATTTATTGCAAGTGGACCAACTGTTCTACAAACCAACTCAATGAAGGAAATGTCCGAGCAGATAGTCACATCTTCAAAATGGACATCCTTGCTACCCCAAGATATTCTAAACAAATTTCAGGTTAGATTATATTTTTGCTCTCGTCCGGATGTGTAGATGAGAGTTGCTACGTCTGTTTTGTGTTCCTGCTAACAAAATTATTATTCAAGATTTCTTCTCCGCCTTGTTCCGTGGTCACTCCCCACAACATCGTAATTGCGTCGAACCGCGATGCCCTTGCCGAGCTGAAGAACTACTTCACTTCTCATGGTTATAATGCAACTATTGTTACTAATTGTCTTAAAGGAGATGCCACAAGCATAGGAAGGGATTTTGCCGAACTCATTACAACAGGACGGGAGAACTTGCCAGATATTTTGGAGAAGTTTGGTGGTAGGAATGAAGAGCTACTGTTTGGGAATAAGGTGGTTTTTGCACTTTCAATATTCACTTTATTCTAGCGTTTGCCGAACTTCTGAATACATTTTGTCCCGAATGGTTTAGATAGCATTGCTATTTGGTGGAGAAACCACTGTTACAATTCGAGGCGGAGGTTGTGGAGGACGATGTCAAGAAATGGCACTATCTTGTTTCACATCGCTCTCCTCCTGTTCCACTACTCTACCACCGTTCCTATTCTTGGCTGTTGGAACTGATGGACAAGATGGTCCTACGGATGCTGCGGGGGCCTTCTTCACTAATGACGATCTTAATAAGGACATGTCCAAAAAGGGAGAAGCTTTCCTAAAGACCTCAAATTCCTATGGTTTCTGGTCTATGTACAATGATGGGACGAACCATATTAAACCTGGGCCCACTGGTACTAACGTAATGGATATCCAAATTGTTTTGCTACAGTTTAGGTAAAGATTGTCTGGATGTGTACTGTGAACTAGGAACCAGTAACAAAAACTAAAATAGAAAAAATTCATTTATTCAGTGAATTTTCAGAGGAAATAACAGTCAAGATGATTAATGTTCCACTGTTCCACCACAAAAAACACTCCCGAAGAAAGAAAATTAGACAACAATAAATAATATCACAAGTCAGTGTGACAAACTTGCCCGCAGAGGCTCTTAAGACGGACGTAGTATACGTCAAGCGTTGGTCTATATTTTTTAGATTAACCACATGGAAATATGAAAGGAGCCGTAACTATACTATGTCGTATTTGTCGGAAATGAAACGGGTTTCAGTAGAGTAAGGCACATGCGAGCTGCCATCCACTGATCGAACAGCATCAACCTAAAATAGGTTGCTTCTATCAGCTTAAAACATATCCTACTATTAAAATATATTGAAAGTTTTCCTGAGCAGATGACCGAACGTTACTGATAAACTCTAGAAAAAATAAATTGTGAACTCTTGCGAGGAAGACACTAACCCCTATGTCACAATACAATTTCTCTGCATGGAAACGAACTTGAACGGGGAAAAAGTGGTCGGCATGTCCATTTGGGACGGAAAATTCCAAAGTCCCAGCTGAGTTGGTGCTCAAAAGTCACATATTACGTTTCTGTGAAATCGAAGCTATGATTAGAACCGTTACCTATCAATGACAGGAATTGTCCAAACAATTTGATTGCGTGCTTTCTGGTAGTCATACGAACCTTCGCATTCAGATACGATAGGGACTGTGGCGGCACTGCAGGAAAAAAACTGAGCTGGCAGAACTCAATCTTTCGACGGAAGACTTCACTAAATTTTAAAGAAGAAATGGTAGACTTACGGAAGTGGTACAGTAATAACAACATTCTCAAGGGAAAGATCAACCCTTTGCAAAGTATATTCGATGTTCACTTGACACCCGTTCGGAGATTCTTGTGGCCAACAGTTCACTGGAACAGTCTACACCTGAGAAATGATCAAGAAAGTAAGAAATCAAATTAGGCTTACATGTGACAGGAAGCTGCTCCTCTTCAGTAAGTACCATCTTCCACTTCAAGACACCACAGTTGGTGTTGACCGGAAATGGTTTAGCCACCGATTTCAACTTAAGCATGGCCGACGTGTGCCAATCGTTTTTGTCAAGATTTGGATGAACCTAGATAATATCGTAGTCATTTAGTTTGTACCCTTAAATTTATCCTTATGATTTTGAATGATTTCAAACGAACTCTGGCGAACCTGCAATTGTGTTCCTGCAGGTACATTGTTGCGCATTTGAATTGCGATAGTGTTGAATTCAGGAGCACTCACTGATAACGATACAACTCCAAGAACCTGCAAGAAGTTGGATGACCTTTTATCATGTTTAAAGATTGATTTAAGACAACTGCAATAAAACTAGTTCTTCGACAACTGCTGCTAAATAATTTTTTCAAAAACAGTAACTAAGGATGAGGATCTGAAAAACTTATAGAGGACAGACCGGACCACTATTTAACACTGAAAAGGTATAAATGGTTTTTCTTTTTTATTTTGGCTTCACAATACCTTTTCAATGATTAAAGTAACATAACGTTGTTATAAAAGTTTCTTCTATAGGTTTCCGACTTTTCCACAGTTTTTCTCGTCCCAACGTTTTCGTTTTCTTTACAGTCGGATTGATCCGAGTCGATGATCCACAAGTGATGATTGCAATAGATCAACATCCGTCGTGTACAGAAAAGCACCCCCAAAAGGGCTTCTTCATTCGAGCAGTGTTCCAATTCACTGGATTCGATCGAATGCGACCACGTACCGCATCGCGAGCATGACCACTCGTGGACAACCAAAGAAGTCCATGAAGAACAATATAATGAAGTTCTTACGTGGTAGCCCAACTCAAGTACAAATTCGAAAATTTCGCAGATGACGGATGCAAGGCAAAGAACCGAATGGCTGAAAGAACTAGAGTCCACTGGCTTGGCAGCTGCAAGCAACGAAGACGACATTTTATCCTGTTCTAAGAAATCCCGATCGTTCAACTGCTTCCGTGTTCAAGATACAGGTTTTGTTAAAAAAGCGAAAATAGCCCTTTTTGGCTAAAGAAAATTAGAATTCTCTTCATGTAGGATGAAAAACTTGCATCACATCAGTAAAAAAGAAACTGTAGTTTGTAATATGGGCTAAGATGTATTTGACTAAAGTTGAAGGCCGCTATTATCCTTGGAGACGCGTGTACTGGAAGCATGTGGGCGCTAATTTTCTAAGAGGAGTTGTGCTTTTATGAGGTTTAAAAGTAAGAGAGCTGAGAACGCGTATGTAACACAGAAATACCTCAGCTCCTTGTAATCCTCCATCACGGCTAACCGTCGCAACCATTTTCTCCTCAGTGCATATGTGGACTGCTTCACGTTTCACATTTGACACTTGAGCAACTGCAGCAGATGCGGTTCCAGCTTCGCGCTAAAACAAATAAGGTCGTTTGGGACATTAAATCAATTCTGAAACAAGGATCTAATGGCTATCAAACTGTTACAAACAGTGGTGAAACAAGTACCGGTGACCTCTCAACAGGTGCAATATTTTGCCCTTCCTGTCGAAGTTGTTGTAAGAATGCATCCTCATCTGTTTTTGCTCCAAGCTTGAGTGCCTAAAAGTAATGATCTTCAAAAACTGCATAAGCAACGAATTTTACCTTCTTCATAACCGAGTGTGAATGCTTACCTTTCCTCCACCAGTTCTAGTCGATGTATTAGTGGGTTTGGCCGTGAAAGTCTCCTGCACTGCAGTGAGTGGTGTGGAAGATGATGAAATTCCCAAGGCGGACGAGAAGTTCGCAGCTTAAGTAACACGACGATAGCTAACAACATACGAATTACGTGAAGAACTGACCAGATGGCTTGAGTCCTTTACTAAGAGCTTCTTTCTGCATACGCTTAAATTCCTTTGCTTTTTCAGCCATCGCCTGTTTAGCTGCTCGTTCTTGGGCCTGTAATTGTGCTGCTGGAATGGTGGGCTTCTTCTGGATTTGCGGAGACAATAACAACAATACTGCTTACTTCTTTAATTTGGAGGAAAACGCGTTCCTCGTGCGAATCCATGTCCGTAAATGTGCGGATCTGGGCCAAATTGACATTTTCTCTAAAAATCATGGATATATATGATACATATGAGGAACAACTGACCAGTTATTTCACACAGTAAAACCTGACATAAGGTACCTGTAGCCAAGAGTTACAACCTCATCGAAAGCGAATATGAGATCAAAATCGTGCGCAAGTATCTCCTTTTCTTCGTTGGAACGACAATACTCAGGAATCTAAACGTCAATACGTATTTACCTCAGAAATACATCAACGAATAGTCTTTAAAAGATGTATGTAACATACCACTCGCGAAAACAGCCTCAGGGTTTCGAGGTCCTCCAAGATGTTTGATGTTTTCGTCGTGATCAGCACCATATAGAGGTTGTCCAACGGATGATAAACATATCGAACACTGTCAGTTTCGATGAAAGTATGCTGACGCTGTGCTAAAATCTGAATCAGTCATCGTGCTACAGAAACCAATATATTACAAGGTAGGATCCCATACATTCTAACATTTCCAAAAACGGAAGATGACTAGTCTCTCAGATAGTTCGGGAGAGAAAAAAATGAACGAACGTGTGAATTTATGGAAGTGCCTATTTCATCCATGGAGATAAGAAAAATATTGAGGAATTACAAAAGTGTATTCCATAAAGCGAAGGACAAGCAGCATGGATAAATATGGATGGTAATGAATATTGAATGTACGAAAGAATAAAGTTGGAATTTATGGAAGCTAGGAATAAGGTAACTGTGAACCTGCTTTGCATAACTGTAGTGAAAACAAGTACAGAACAACTAACCACGTCATCCAACTGGGCAAAGAAGCTATACAACGAAATAGTACTTTACTTAGACTCCGTCAATTAATATTGTAGCCGAAGTCTAATATCAACACTAAACCAATGCTGGACGAACCTGGATCCTTATCGTTTCCTATAAGCTTTGGAAAAGCATCCAGTAAACCTTCCATGCGAGCACGAGTCATATCGGACACGAATACCCGGGTTACGAGAGCTGGAATGAAGTTGTCGAAGATTACCAAATTTAACAGCATATCTGCAAAAAACATGGACCCCACCTTTGCCAGACTTTGACACGATGCTTGCAGAAATCAAAACCATCCTGACTTGTGCTGTACTGCAAGATCCTGAAGAAAGCACACATCAGTACTTGCAAAAGATAGATAGACAACAAACAACGCAAACTGAAGACAACAATCAATATGCGTTTAAATTGCTGAGCTTACACGAAGTTTATTTTGCTACCGAGGTTAAACGGCGCTCGGTATAAAAACTGAAAACAACAACTTGTAACGGAAAACTCTTCATATTTCTACTAAGACACACTTAAATGTTGCTTGACCAGGAATCGTCAAGGAAACGGAGAAAATGAAGTTGACGACGAACCAAAAGACACGTCTCAGACGCAGCGCTCCGAGAGTTCGGCTCTCAGCTATCGCATGTAACCTTTAAATCTGGTACCTAAAGGAAAGCTGATAACCTGGTTTGGGACATATTTCAAACTAACGTTTCTTTGTAGTAGGTGGTTGACGGTTTTGCATAGCTCACGAAGAACTGTAAGAATCAGACGAAGAAGTTAGGATTTGGCCTGATGTAATGTTATCAACGAATTAGGCACATATGGACCACCAAATCGATAACTGACTCGTGTTAAGTTTTAAAACCATCTAAAGTGCCACGCTGCATAATCGCCGAGAAAAAACAGTGTTCAGCGAAGTCTTGAGCCGATTTTCATAGCCCAAATGTACATTCAATCACCTCTATTAGGTTTAAAGAAGATGGACACATGGGGTTTTTCTAAGTAACTGGTCACCGCCGAACGTGTCTCATTCTTTATCCTCCTATTACCTCTATCAACTACTCACTAGTTGATCGAACATCGAGCTCAAAAGAGTATAGTTGAAGAATGAAAATCCACAGTTATCACTGTCTGGCCGTAGGCGCCCTTTTGATCCTGATGTAGTCGCACGAAGAGCGGCATATTTTTCGTCCAGGGTTTTCATGAAGAAGTCTTGACCACGGCGTTCATGAACTACAAAGAACTATAAGCCCTTCACAAGAATCGAAACATCGCGTTATGCACATAGTGGTTCACCTAATAGCCTGGCATGAAGCGACAAAGCCAGAAGATTTTTGGATCTCAAAGATTAGATCCTCTTCGGAACTCTCATACAGATGTGCATTTCTTACCGATACGCATTCCTCATACATAATCAGTTTATGCTCATTTAACAATCATTTGTAGACATCCCTTTCTTCGTTCTGACGTTTTCATCGACATGTAAACATTTCTATGCCCTTATGGTTGCCTTTGTCCTGGGAGGAATCGAACGTTTCTGTGGACAATCGACTCGAGTCATCCGAAGAAGACACCAAAACGTAACCCGAGTAAAAGCTTTAAACAGGAGGCTTCCACAGTCTTTAGTTGTTTCCTTTTTACAAAAACCTCGTGTTAGCTTAATAATCCGAGAAAACATTGGAACATTTGCATCTCCCTATCAATCCAAGTCTCTCTTATCGGTGTGCACACTAGTACACACTGTGTACGACGTGTTCATCAACAGCAATGGTCGCTGCCAGAACCTAAGGCTTAACGGTTACGGGTGGAAATCTAGGGATTGCTTCGCAACGACCGTGTTTTTCACCCGAATACTATTTTGCAGACAATGTCATCACTTCTTAACGAAATATAACCATAATGATGCTAAGATCTTTGGAAAATTCCGGACCGCTGGTGTCTGCGGTGGGGATCGAATCCGCAATTACCCTTTCCGGGAGCTAACACGTTCCGTTGATCCCGTTGACTGGCGAATCGCGTATAGGTTAATAACACGGCTGAGAGAAAGGCGAAACGAAGGACTGGCATGGTGTGGTGATAGGGTAATAGTGTGCCCTTTAACCTTGTAAATGGTAATAGCGTGCCCTTTAACCTTGTAAATGGTAATAGCGTGTTCGATCTCCATCGCAGAGACCAGCGGACCGGAGTTTTGGAAATATCTCAGCAACATTATGACTGTTTGGAGAGTTACTATCTCAATTCACAACATAGATTCAAGCCCTTTTAATATTGAGTGTTTTGACTGTCAATGGCTTTCTAGATCCCTTCACATTAAACGATTCATTTTTAGTAAAATCGAGTTGTAATATGGTAACTTTTGGAACAACAACAAACACATTAACTTTGTCATCACATCACTAATAATCATAATGCTGGGTAAATAGAGGTTACTTGCAAGTTGGACGAAGTGGCTGGACTGCATCTACCAAGGGTCCTTCAGTCATAGACATAATTCCTTAACCTTTTCTGCCAAAAAAGCACTCCTCTTAGATTTTTTCTCCTCTTCTTTTCTCATTCGCTCTAATTGGTAATCATTCTCGACAATATTGCTCCCAAATCTACGGCTATGAAGTTCAAGATCGATTAAAAGTCTTCTTTTATCGAACCAGGAACACGAGAAAAAATTAGTTGCTCTCAAGGTAAAAGCCAAAGTGCTCATTCACGAGGTCAGTTTGAGTCATTTACCACTGATTAGTGTTTTAGAACTGGACTCCATAAGTGCAAATTTACTGGAATGATGTGAAGAAATCTTGCTACCTGCTATCATTTCTACGCATTAGAATTTTAGATTCATGTTGAGCATCAAGACAATTTCACTGAACTTAAGTGAACAAAAACCGATCATCGATTTATCCAAGTGTTTGGAAAGGACCACATATCTTAACATTAATTTAGTTTTAATTCAGCCAATTCGTTGATGCCACTGGCGTCCAGTCGATAGAGCAGCCAACCTTCCTTTCTTGTCAGATCTTCACACGGCAGGTTCTTGTAGAAGGCAATTGCACTCGAATTCCAGTCGAGTACGTTCCATTGCAGTCTAGAAAGAAAAAAATTTCGAAAAGTAGGTCGAATGTGAAAATTGGATTGTTTCTGTTGTACCCGATGATCATGAGATGGTAGTAATGTGGAGTACTAACGCTAAAGATACAAATAGATAGAAAAGATGATTAGTATATTCTGAGGATGCGTACAGTGCACCAGTTAGAGATGTCCAATAGCACCAAACAGCGTCTTCGTTGCGTGAACGGTTCACCAAGCCTTTCATCCTTCCTGGATGAGCAAACTGGTGCGAGCATTGTTTAGGAAGATTAAGCAGTAACTTGATTTATCGGTAGCCACCGTAAGTCATTGTATAGAGCATCGTATGTATGTATGTGTATGTATATGTATGTATATTGTATATATGCATATATATTGTTTAGAATATAATGAAAGATACAACCATAACGTTGCTGAGATATTTGCAAAACTGTGGACCGCAGGTGTCTATGGTGGGGAACGAACGCGCTATTGTCCTTTCCGGGGAGTAACGCGTTCACCACCACACCATGCGGGTCCTTCGTTTCGCTTGTCTCTCAGCTATTTCTATCGATCTTTTCCTGATTGCTGCGGGAAAAGATCGATAGAAATAGCTGAGAGACAAGCGAAACGAAGGACCCGCATGGTGTGGTGGTGAACGCGTTACTCCCCGGAAAGGACAATAGCGCGTTCGTTCCCCACCATAGACACCTGCGGTCCACAGTTTTGCAAATATCTCAGCAACGTTATGGTTGTATTTCGCCTAGTACCCTGCCGCGAAATTATAGTAGGCAGAAAATAAAAAGGTATAACATTGTGATTTCAACTACAGCCGCAGCTTAACTGGGTTCTATGCCGATTTGGGCGCCCCAGATCAATCCCGCTGACGGGTGATTGCTGCGGGAAAAGATCGATAGAAATAGCTGAGAGACAAGCGAAACGAAGGACCCGCATGGTGTGGTGGTGAACGCGTTACTCCCCGGAAAGGACAATAGCGCGTTCGTTCCCCACCATAGACACCTGCGGTCCACAGTTTTGCAAATATCTCAGCAACGTTATGGTTGTATTTCGCCTAGTACCCTGCCGCGAAATTATAGTAGGCAGAAAATAAAAAGGTATAATAATGAAAGATATACGTCCAATCACCTCTACAACGTTATGAGTGGGATCGAATGCATGCCGCATCCCTCGGGGATTGATCAACGTTGAGTTCTTTATTCCTTTTATATTTGTTCTGGATTCTATACACGAAATTTTATCCATTGTACCACACAGCAATCAACATTTCGCAAGATATTCATGTTATCGGAATAGTAAAGAACTGACTCGGAAGACTTCTTATTACGTCCTAATCTCAACTACAAAACATAAGAGGGTAATATTCTTCTCACTGACGATTGCTTAGGTCAGTCATAAAACGGCCTAAATGATTACAATTCGTACAAAAATTGGTTTGAACCGTAGACTGTTTCCAATTGCAGAGTACCCTCTCAGTAAAAGACTCAAAGACAAATATGTTTCATATTTATGAACTTGCTCAACCCTAGTTTATATGCTGAAGTTTTCATGAAAATCAATTTATGGGAGGAGAAGACACGTGAAAACGATTTAAACGACGTTTCACAATAGCTTCCCCATTAACGCTTTAGTGAACTTTTAGCGAACAAAACCGGAACAGTAGCATCAGTACCAGAAAAAGTACTTAAACTATAGAATTGAACAATACTAATTTTCCGGTGTTGTGGGAAATGAAAGAAATGTTTCTCAGACCTTCTAACTCTCATTTCCTTAGCCAACTGTCCAAGCCTTTGCCACAGCAATTTTCCGTAGCCCTTTCGACGAAAAGGCGGTCGCACATACAGATCCTCCATATGAATATACTGTCCTTCCCACGTGGAATAGGCAAAGTAAAACAGAACCATTGCAGCTGGCTCATCGCCCTCTCGCAGCACGAAACCATCCACTGCGCCCTTGTCCAGGTCAGCTGCAAGTTGTGCGTCGTCGACCTGAATTACACGTTTCACCCACAAATATGAACGACTGTGAGGTTTCGCTAACTCACGATTTTATAGGCATATTTTTTAAAAAAAACTTTTTTTCCAAGCCCTTCGCTCACCGTACAAGTCCATTAAATAGGACAAAATGGGAGACCGCCGTAATCTCGTGAACGCAACGCTATGTGCTTAAGGAGCATTCTCAGAGAGATCTCATGGTGGTTAGTCGCGATGGAACGTGGTGCATCCCAAGATGGTGGATAGGGGATTAGTCGCGAAACAAAAGCGACCTTTGCTACCCTGAGGGCAGATGGATCCAGATCCCTCCATTATATATTTCTCCATATTTCTCCTACACTGATTTAACACCTTCTGTACTTACGAGGAAGTATTCAAACGAGCGTACGTGAGTCTCTCCTCGTTAATGCGCATTGTATTCAACGAGTCAATTGGGCCAAAAGCCTACAACCAGGTACCAGGAAAGTACCCCACGAATATACCCAGCACCTACATTCAGAGTTCAGCAAGCTATACGTGGCTATCAAAAACCTAAACAGAGTAAACTAAATGAACATAATACCGCTGCCGATGAAACAGCCCACGATACGGCAGCGTTGCATGGAACGAATACGTAGGAGTTGCTGAAATCTAAGGGTCATTCTAGGGCTACCCAAATCGCAAAATACTAACTAAGGTGACGGGGATCTGTACGTACAACGTACGCCCACTTGCATCTGAGTCCTCGATAGAGGACTTGATCATTTAAGCAAGAACGATAAAGTACGATGTCATCGGACTGGCCGAGAAGCGACGACGCCACGCATTCGGCTCCGTATATGACATTGGAGAAGAACATCCCTCAGAACATACGACAGTAGAGAAGTCGACGTCCTTGTCAACACGAGTTTGGTCATGAACATCGATTCATTCGAACAACTAACAACCTGAATCGGACGTTTACGACTGAAGAGATGTGGATCAGTACTGGTGTTGACAATGTCCATCATTTACGCGCCGACATCAAACTACGACGAAGAAGAAGATGAAGAGTTCTACATGGACTTCGAGAAGTTCTACAGAGAAGACCATACATTCTTCAAAATCATCATTAGAGAATTCAACACTAAGACTAAACTCAAAAGAACGCCCGAAGAACATCACCATTGGGACCCACGAAGTAAACCGGAATGAGCAGAGTGACCGGCTGTTTGAGTTTATCATGACGACCAACACCATTCATGATATTCCGCAATTCCAGAAACCCCACCTTCAACAGTGGACGTGGGAGTCTCCCAGTGGAAAGTACCATAACACAAGACGTCATAATAAATAGAAGGTTTTGCTTAACTGACGTCGCTGTTGTCCCAAAATTCTAAGTGGGATCAAACGTTCGCTCCCTCGCGCAAAATCCTATTTCACATTCAAAGGAAAAATGGTGCTGTTTTCGAAAAAAGAAACCCAAAAATCACCATAGACTGGGACATATTTATTTCAGTAGTTGATTATTGAAAGATGCCATTCTTGATAACATCGACGAGAAATACGATCGGCTCATTTAACATTCTCACGTTAGCGCTATGAAAGCTGAAAGTTCGAAAGTCACCAAGAGACGTCTGTCTCCGGAAACACGAGTTGATACGCAAGCGTGGAATCACGCGAGCTACAGACAACCGCCAACTGACGTCCGAACTTGCAAAACAATGCAGACAAGTGATAAGAGAAGACCTTGAAGAAAGAAGAGGAGCAGTCACGGTCGAAGTTACGGAGGCTGGGAAAAGCAATCGCAAAGCCTGCCACATCGTCGACTATTACAAAACCAAGATGACTGCACTCCGACGCCCAGAAGGAACAGTTACAACTGCCCACTTTTTCGACTCAGCGGTGCTTTCTGCCCTAACGTATGCATTAGAAACCTTGTCGCTGTGTAAGCAGGGTGAAAGACCACTCAACGTTATTGAACGCACAGTCGAAAGAACGATGATAGGAGTACCCAATGTCACAAAGTGAGAGAAGAGATCTGAAGCTCCGACTTGCATCAACGATCAAAAATCAAAGATGCCGTTCTGTACGCCAAACAGTCGAAGATAAGGTGGGCCGGACACGTAATCGGTATGAATGACAACCGATGGACAAGAGCCGTTAGTGACTGGATTCCTCGGGATGTCAAACGTACTGCAGCAGGACCACATAATGGCCACAGTTTTTCGCAGAACCCTAGAAGAAATATATTATATTCAATGAGTTCCTGGAACAAGCGGAGTCAACTGGGCTACTCTTGCACGCAACAGTGAAGATGAAAGGTTTTACTGGTGCTGGCTAGAGTCACTCAACGATGAACGGGACGGCATGTGATTAAGGTGATCCACAGTATCTCTCATCCATAAAAGTCATTTCCCAGGATAAAAAGGATAAAGCTCTCGGCACTGATCCATCCCTAAGTCATGCGCCATGCATTGGACTTCAATAAACCTCGTTTGGAGGTGATTGAATGCGTATCTGGCCTACACAATGACCCACAGTGGCCTATGGAAGTATCGAGTCAGTTCTGCTGTTCTCCTAGACAGGTCCGGTAACAATTTTCCGACCCCAGAGGGATGGAGGGCTTGGGGCTTGGTGTGGCGGGGGGTGAGGATCGAACCTATGTGTATTGCAGGGAAACTCTGACCACTGCGCTACACGTGCCCAATTTAGATGCTACGACATGTATTTGTGACTGGATGGAGAATGGAAAGCACTCTGTAAAGAATGTCTACTGGGAGATTTGTTGTAAGGGACTTCCTATTAGAAAGATGTGAAGTGTACGGAGTATTTATAAATCACAACAAAAGTTCGTTGTATAAACAAATTTGACTTGACCATCTGTATATGAAAAAGTGCTTATATCAGTGTAAAAAGGCGTCATTAACAACTTTTAGCGCTGTTGACCTGTGAACTTGACATCGAAGGTGTACTCTCTTGGGGTGATCAATTAATGCCCGATCCCAATACTATGACACCTTTTACCAAATCGCGGAATCGTTCGGATGCCTTACGATATTCTCTCAATATCCAGTCCACGAAAATCAGACAAAGGAAAAATATGCTGGGATCCGCAGTATTCGTGAAGACGGGATGTCCAAGTGTCCAAGAAAGTATATTCGTATCTCTATGTAAATGTGCACAGTGCTGAATCTCGAGTAAATAAACGTCTCGTTCATCTTATATAGAGCTTAATAATTAGAGCGAGATGTTGTGCACTTGTTGAGCAAGTGATGAATATCAACGGTAGTTAAAAACCAATCTGAAATGTTTTTTCCGATTTTCTCCAAAAGGTGGCCAAATGGTGTCTAAAAAGTGGGAAAGAAAAAAAATGCATGATGAAGAAGTTTGAATTTCAAGGAGGAGAACGTTTTAATTCGAGTTCCTCTTTCTTTTTACTTTTACGCCCTCAAGCATTTTTTCGAATTCCGCCAACTCTCTGATCATTTTCATCAGCAGCGGTGCATCGGCCGAGGAGGTGCGATTCACTGATACCGCCATCCCTGGAAAAGTAATACATAAGAGAGGCACTGCCCTTTATGTGATATGACATAAAGGGGTGGCGAGAAAGATGGGAAGACTACTAAGAATAATTATTATCATATTTGGCATAAAAAAGCAGAAGAATTGGAAGATCTGGCAATCGATATAGGCTTACTATTCTTATTCATTCATTGTTAAAATCATAATTAGTATGTGAAGATCCAAACACCATATCACTGAGACTCCAAACGAGAGAAGTGCTCTAGCTGGTATGAAGAACAGATTCGGCAGAAGAAATGATTCCCAGAAGGTTGGAGCAGATCGTAGGTGGAGTCGACAAATGCAACATTCAAGAAGATATGTCTTTAAGTGTACTTAATCTAGTTATTTAATGGTAGACTGTCAAAAAAGCCTTGTTTTTATCGTTCCGGTTTTCGAAAATACACTTTGCAGGAGATTTTTTTAATGCTTGTAGTAATGTTGTATCCTTTCTCAGACTTTAGAGTAGTTCCTCGGTGGTTAGCTTCGGTTTAAACCTTCAGAAGCTTTCTCCAATTACTAACTACCGATCTTTTTCCTCAAATCTTTTCATATGTCTGGGGTCAAACTTTTCGAATCATCTGACTACTGCGACTCGGGACCAGTTCGCAGGCTCGGATTACCTAAAATCTTGGCAAAATAAGCATTAGGATAAATGCTACAGAGTTAGCGGTTAAGCGGAAATTGTGCTCTAACATGATGCCAACATCACTGCAAGCGCAAAAAAAAGATCAGCCACAAAGCATATCCTTAAAAATCATGACGATAAAAACAAAACTATCTTTTTTGACAGCAGATCGTTAATTAAATAGATTAGGTAAACTTAGAGACAGTAGACCTCCTTAAAGGTCGAATTCGTCAAGTTCGTCTGCCAGTCTCTTCAAGCTTCTGGGAATCATTTCTTCACCCGAATCTGTTTTTCATACCAGCTGGATCGCTTTTAGTCAAAAACACTCAAAATAGCCATGTTGAAATCATTCAGCGATTTCAAACCAATTAACTATTAAACGGGAGCTGCCTCATAAAAATGAACGCAAGGCTTTACTCATTGCGACCTTAATTTCTGTGCAAAAATGTGATCTAGGTCTCATCAGAACCACTCACTTTCCCGTAATACTGACTCAGTGACTTTGAACTTCCGCTAAATCACGGCTATAAATCACAGAGCCAATCGAATTCCGCATTTTCCAATCTAGGTAAATTTCTTCTACATATACTGTAGGTCAAAGCAAAGAATTATCATGTGCAGTAGTCACGTTAAATTGTTCCTTAATGTGATTCTGAGATATTTGCAAAACTCCGGACCGCAGGTGTCTGCGTTAGCCACCGGAAGAGGTAATAGCGCGTCCGCTCCCACCACAAACACCTGCGGTCCTGTGTTTTGCAAATATCTCAACATCATTGTGGTTGTATCACTCATAATACGCTGCAGTGAAAAGTGGTAATGGGCAGTAAATAAAAAGTTAACATTTTTTTAAATGCTTCGACCACATAATGAAGCAAGAGAGTTAACTGTAATGAAAGGGCTCGAGGATTTTAATACGACTTCCTAAGCGTTTCCATATCACAATTTTTGCACAAAGATGAAACAGAATTACTGGTTATCAAAGATCATGGCAAACAAAACCCAACTACAAAACTGTTTCGCCGATCAAATTTCCTCAGTAGTCTGCTTAGTTTTAACATTACAAAGGCTTCAAATCGCATAAGCGCGGCCCAGCACTCGAAAAGATTTACGAAGGCTCTAGTGATCCCGGCGCTGAAACTTGAAATAGCAACAGGCATAGTAAATGCTTGCAAATACCAGCACTAAAGAAAACAAAACAGTTTTCATTTGCACATTTATATTAATCTGATACAGTTGAACACGTCATGATTTTCTGAGAGGAAAACGATGAGAAATTGAATTAACACCCGTAGCAACGGAAGGAACAAAACCAGCAAAGCTAAATTGGCAACCTGAATTAGAACAAAAGGAGTGACACAGTCTATGCCGCATAAACCAAAGACAGACCTCATAAGAGAGGAAAACAAGCAGTTACAACAACTGAAGGCTTCAACAAAAGGCTGAAGAACAAAACCAGTTGGATAAAAACACCATAAATTCCACTCCAAAATGGTCTAAGTGAATTCCAACTGAACGACAATCTTCAAACAGCTCTACAGTTAGATGATAGCTTTGCCAGCAGAAACGCCAAATTCTGAGGATGGTATGAAGATCACCTTCAGATGTCCTTGACGGTACGTAAAGATGCCTTAGGAATTTGAGCCTCAACGTCCAAGAATTGCTTCATTGTGTCGACCTAAATCAGTGGATCGATCGCAATCTACACCTCTATGATATAACTTGTTGGTCATTAGCTGGATAATGAGAAATTCAACAAATATTCATGTAAACGACCCATTGAATTCGTATTTAGTCAACTCAACACAACAATGAGCATTTAGAATATGGCGTACCTTATGCTTGAATCGTCCCAACGTGTACGTCACTCTGCTCTTGTGTATCAAGTATGAAAATATCACGAAAACGATCACAACCGGAACTAAATTTGATTGTGCTCGCTAGAAAACATAATGAAAAAGGAAAAAAGTAACCAAGCTCACTGAGCATGGCCGTTGTGATGTATCCGGCCAGTTGGTACTCGACAGAGGTGAACTTCACGAAGAAAATAATACCGATCTCAACAAGGAAGAGAAGAAGTCCTATGCAAGTCGAGAACAACCACGAAAGGTCGATGTAGAATCTGAAAAATGGTACTTCTTTCGTTTCTCTTTTCTCGGATGCTACTTACTTAGATATTCAGATACTTGGATGGCCCGTCTCCACTGGTTGTGTGGGCCCCAGCATAAGTTCCACTTTCTCGGAGTTTTATTGGTTTAGTAATTGCGGTTTTCTGGAGTCCCGAGGTCAGACTAGCCAAAGTCCGCCCAGTCGGTCACAACTACGGGCAGTCGCAGCCTATGTGGATAGGAGGGAGTTTTGCTACTATGCAACTAGTTTGATACTAGAACGGTAGTGGATCCTGGTGTCGGTTTACTCTTAGCTAGGCTTCCTGGTGGAGACGCCGGGTTCCTTCTCAACTTAGGAGACCATGCCGGGGGATGAATCTCCGCTATCCAGGACAGCCTGGCCAACGTCTGCCCCAGTTCTTGGATACTACTTTTAAAAATTTAACTTAGCCTAATTTATCAGCACTACCCTTCGCCACCAGTCCTTTACAAGAATTCTTTCCATCATCATTGGAAATTTACGTGTTCTTAACAATGTATACTGCAGAGATGTTGGAAACTTTGTGATATCAAGCAGTCCGACGTTTCATACCTACAATATTTTTAAAGAAGTAGTACTAACCCAAATTCATAGCAGAAGTGTAACGGAGATATCTATTACGTTCTCCAGACATAGAGAGTTTTGCAAGCAGAACTACTCTAATTTCCAATGTATCACTCGTTACAAACAAATAAGTGATGTGACACCAACATACTAAGGGTACGTAGAAAGCAGACCATAAAATATGAAGATATTCGAAAGCACAACCCTACGAAACGAGACTTTAATCTTAAATAGCTACAAATAAGCAAGGCTTAAGCGCTGGTGGTGACATTAGCAAAGGAAATTCTAAACCAGCCATTAAAGCAGTGGAATAATCAGTTTAAGTCTTCAAAGGCACCTTTATGAATCCAGTCGTCTAATTTCTTTCTCTGTCTAAAAATAGTCTAAATTCTGTATAACATCGTTGAATAGCTTCCCTACGTGTAAAGATCGCACAATTAAGAAAGGTTTCGAATAAAGTGTATTAAGGGTCAAGAAGTATCAAAATCAAAACACCAACTTTAACCGAATGTGTGGCGAGTCCTGCGTACAACCGGTGGCCTCCATGTAAGGCAGAATACAGGTGGACATCATGAGGGCGAGGAGATGGACGGAGACGAGCAGCGTAGTGACGACGCCCAGCAGGACCAACAACCAGCGAGGCGTGTTCTGGTCGTACTGCAGCTCCACTAAGGCAACCTGAATGAGGTGGCAACCATGAACCATGCGGAATTTGTTGCCATTGTTATTTGTCGAACAGCAATTCCCCTTCATTCATTTGTTCCCAATTTAAGCATCATTCAAACGCGATTTCATTTCAAAAGAGGTTCCCTGAAGGTTTTGATGACATTCTACTTTCATAACAGAAGCAGCAGAAATATAGTGATCATATCCCAACAAACGCCCCTCCATTATGTTAGTCTTAAATAGACAATTTATATCACCAAATGATGCGGTCACGCTTCCGTTCGTTAGTTTCCTCGTTTTGAGAGACAACTATAAAACGCTGCTTAGAGAGCAAGGTCAGGATGAAAATCGAATCAAAAACCTAAAACTACGTTATGTGTAACGAAGGAAAACCACCCGATGTTCTTGTCTTCAGAACGATTTAATCCCGCTTTAGAAAAAGAAATATAGCTTAAAATCCAATATGAAAGAGTTAGGAACGCACCATTGCAAAACCCGCGAGTAAAGCGGACGTCCTGCTGCTGGCTTTCAATTGTGCCTTACTCAGATCGTAGTTGTACTTCTCTGCCATGTCCAGCTCTCCACGATGTCTGAACTGACCACGGTTATACTGTATAACTAAGGAAGCTTTCCCTTCGATTAACCATGGTTGAACCTGCTCCCAAGAAGGACAATGTCAATTTCTTAACAACCTCTAAATACTGCACAGAATATCCCTCTAATTGCAGCATATCTGCTAACGACTTAAGAGTACTCAAACAAGGCCTTGTAACACCGGAAAAGAACGAGCGCCAATAAAAATCAGCCCATTTCACTGGCTTCTACTGTTTGGAACAAAGCAATTTGATATTACAATGCAAACTTTTTATTTGCTGCTTAATTTTTTTCCTTGGCAGAGTATTATGTGAAATACAACCAGAATGATACTGAGGCATTTACAAAGCTGAGGACTCCAGTCGAGCTTCGACCCCATGATTACCTTTTCTTGGCTGGAGTTCACGCGTTACCTACTGCACCACTGGGGCATCCCAATTGACGGGTGATTGCTGATGCCATCGTTGGGGTAAAAAACCGACTGGGAGAAAGGCAACTTGGTATCCGCCAAAAAAGCAACAAGACTCGGCTTCTTTACCAATTCTTACAAAAGTTTAAAAATGAAAAACAAAACAAAAAGTCTTTGCTGATATTACTGCGTTTCGAGTATATAAATCTTAACGTTACTCTTTCGTTTTTAGTCGCAACTTTCCAATCTTTTTTTTGAAGAAGAATCTCACTTGAAGGCTGTTGGTATGTTTCACAGCCTTTACACATTTGGAACCGCACGATTTGAGGGACTACTGACCGAAATTCCGACTCCACGTCGGCGATAGTTACTCGGCTTGGCGATCTGAGACTTGTAGCAGAACCGTTGGAAATCTTGGGCACGTTAAGGTACAACTGAGAAGCCGGCCACCGACCAGCCGTCGAATTACTGACACCTTGATAGGAAGAGATTGAATGGATATCGTCCACAGAAATGGAGCAGCGTGGGACCAAATATCTCTCCAGTAAAGCCGTACGAGACCGATCGACCGAACGGGCCATTTGAGACGAAATGGCGAACGAAAATCGAAAGGACGCCTGCATAACAGAAAATTAATGGTTAATGTTAGCGAAAAAGTAGACGAGCTGGCAGAGTGTCAATTATCCTGCTCTACTTTAGAACGGCTGCCTGTGAGACACTCAACACTTTTTAACACCCTATCAAAACAACATCATATGTATTGTGTCAAAAACAAAACAAGATATACAGAAGGATTTCTTCCATGAAGACGATGCGGCCGTGTTCAACAGCCGAGCGGTTCTGCACCGCAATGGCACGCTCCTTCACCCCAAGATACGTGCTTAACAGAATAACCGCAGAAGGTCAATAGATTGTAAATAAAGGTCGGTTAAGCTGATTATCAGTAAAAAGCAATCAACTGCTAAGTTTTCTGTTTACAACCTTATAAGTTGCATTAAAAAATAGTACATGACAATGGACAAAAAGTTAAATAACAGAAATGTTGGACTATAGGCGGAAAATATTACTAAAAAGTTGAATCTGCCAACGATTTAATGACAATATCAGGAACCCAGAATGAACGTTGTTCTCACTTTGTGATAGCAAAACAAGTGCTTTCTATAGTTAATGAATCCCTCAGAAAATGGTGAGCCTTGTTAGTAGCCCAAAATATACGAAGCACGAAAAACCAGAGTGAAAAACATTACCAATATAAAAAAGCTCTCATCGTTGACCAATTCCTGAGGGATGCGCCATGGATTCGACTTTATTTAGCATCATTTGGAAACGACTGAATGCAAATCTGGCCTTTACAATGACTCGCGGTGGCCTACCTATGTATCGAGCCAGTGCTACTATCCCGCCAAAGAAGTCTGGCACCACTTTGCCGACCACGGAGAGGTGGAAGGCTTGGTGGGCCACGGGCGCCGGGATCAATCCCGTGCGTAGTTTCCGAGACGCCTCAGATAACTGCTCCACACGCGCTCCTATTACGAGTATAAAGTTAAGTAAGTACGGTATTCACTTTACCAAATACATAAGAAAAACAGGAAGATCTGCAATAAAATTTGATATGCAGACGATCCTATGTATTTTACAGTTTCCCAAAAAGGGCAGAAAATTCAGGAAAGACAAAGGAAAAATCGACAGAAATGCACGCTGCTGGCGGCGATGCAGATGTCCGGTCCAGATTGGGAACTCGTTCGCTCGGCATTTCAACGTTAAACTGCACAATTTTAGGAATACATGGTAAAAGAGGCCTATAAATGTTTTATGACTCAAACTGATTAGGAAGCATGACAGTCTAAACTGAAAACGAACTGGAAGAATTCAAGAAGACTGGTAAAGGATTCGAATCGGGAAAAGCTGTAATAAGAAATACGCTACTGATTCAATTGCGGAAAAGTCAGAAAACTAATACTATTCTGATGGTTTTATATTGGACATAACCGATTTTAGACTAATGCTAACATATCTCATTTCATCGATGCTATAAAATAACACAAAAGGACAGACACTCAAGAATTCCTAGCGTTTTGTTGCATTGATAGGCGTACACGAGATCGTCATGAAAACTTTTTATAGCAGCTAACGTTCCGACACCTTCACCTTCATGCGGTGTTCCACTCCTCTCGACTTCATTCGTTCAACTACGAAGACTTCAAGACGATTCATGTCGAGGTTAGATGGAACAAAGATGGCTTTCAACGAAATTTAGTTCACCGAAAGAAACTTTTTTGTTGTATTTAATAATATGAAACAGCAGATGCTAAACCAACGCCCGACTCAGAGTGGTTTAGTGAACATGCAGGAAACCACGAGAAACGAACACTGCCATTGTCCGATGGAATTCTGTATATTTACGCAGACCTACGACGTGGATACCAAATAAGCGAACCCAGCATCGATCTATCAGTCGCAATTGCAAAAGGGCATGCTATCGAAGCTCTCAGTGCTTCATAGCTGAATTTCAATGGGGTCAAGCGAGCGTTAAGCGTTGCTATGTAGAATATTTTCAGGAACATTCTTCTTCCGAAAAAGTCATAAAAAAGGAACAGGAGATTTAGCACACTACAGAAAGACATCTTTAGAAACTGACTTTTATGCAACCTCAGTATGAATAACTAATTCCTTGGCAGCACCTTAATAAACCGACACGAGACTATACAAAATATTAATAAGTAGGCAACAAAAATAAATAAATAAGCACGAAACGTTGGGTAAACAAATATTTTACACTAAGCTCGTGTCAAACTCAATAATCCACGAAGGTGTAGAAAGACAGTTTAGCAAGCAGAGTTTTCCCCATAGTTGAGGCTGATTCAAACCAATAAAACAGACATCCAAGGGCTTTTCAACAACGTGAATAAATTAAATTTACGACGAACAATGCAAAATAGGGAAACATTTGAGCAAAGAATAGTTACGAACGGTGACTTAGGAGATGTAACCACCGTGGATGTGGAACTCTAGAATAAATAAACATTACAATATTAACCGAGCGCTAAATATCCAATGCTAAGTTGAGAGATGGTACCTATTTTTATCAGCGAAATATATTAGTAGATCCCAGAAAGATTGGATCATAAAATACCGAAAGTGAACAAAACGGGCATCTAACGTCGTACAATCGATCGAAGGGCTTTCGTTCACAAAGCACCGTACGTTTCACTTCTTAGACAGTGCTACAATTTGTTCAGTTGCTTAAAAAAGGATAAATCTATCGGTGTTGACCAATCACTGAGGGATGCGCCAAGCATTCGACTTCATTAAGCATCGTTGGAGGTGACTGAATGCATATCTGGCCTTTAGGATGACGCGCGGTGGCCTACCGGTCTATCAAGCCAGTGCTGCTATCTTCCCAGACAAGTCTGATAGCAATTTGCCGACGCCGGAGGGACATGTGCGTATCTCAGGGCGCCTCCGACCACGGTGCCACACGAACCCCTTCAGTTGCTTAGTTTCTTATTATTTCTTAAATGTTACACCTCCCCGCCCATCGTTTCAGAAGTGACCAAATAACTAAATGATCATCATATGTAATAGAATAAAAGGAGAAAAAAGTCGTAAATACGTAGACAAAGTGTGACGGAACTCGAAAAAATATTGCCCAATGCAACTTTTGGCAGAAAACGGAGGGGAAAAACCAGTTGTAACGATGCAGTCAAGCTAGCAGGAACGAAAGAGAGAAGCGGAGTGGACAATTCAACAGCAGTGGGAGTAAATTTGTGATCGAACTAGGAAAATGACAGGAACTGTATTGAAAAAGAAACTGAATGGATGCCAGATAGCTTGCGTACAACGAAACATCAACGAACAAATCATGGTACGTGGGAGCGGAAAGGATACATGCTGAGATTTAACATTATTAACTTGTCATGATGAACCATGGATAGGCAGGAAATCAAAAAATAATCATTAACTGAGCTTAAACGGATAACCTCAAACATTAGACATGTGTTCAGTGCCTATGTAATAACCCAGGCATGTAACCGTAATCTTCTTCATTTTTACATCTATGGTTACAAACAAACCAGAGGTCCGGCGGTGGGCACGGTATTAATTTAGTCTTAGTTGAACTTAAAGATCGAAATGGTAGACAGAAATCCTTCTCAGTTTGGAAGACCTTATGAAGGACGAACCTCTCGCTGTGAATCGCAGTTCGACGTCCAGAAGTTATTCCTCAACCACGACAAAGCAGCAAACTATTGTGGGATAGCAATGCTCTACCCTGATTAGCAGAGAAATAGCATTCCAATCATTCATGGTCCATGAAGAGTTCCGTTACTGATTCAAACCAATACTCAATGACGCAGTATCGATTATTTCAAAGCCGAGACCGAACGGAAGAACACCTGTGTTCCATGTGTTCTATTATACATTTCATTGTGCCTCACACCAAAGGAAAGTGAAAAAAATCACACCACACTGAAAGTGCCGCTGACGTTGAATCATGAACTGAATTCTACCTATGCAAACAATGAGACCTCCATAATGCTTTGTGCCGTAATAATTCCCTGGATGAGTCACCCACAATCGTTTGCATCCGAACAATGCACGTCTATGGTCCATAGCGAATCCCTTAGACGAAAAACAGTCACTATTTTTAAAAATCAACATAAAGAACACCACCTATACGAACGATTATGCATACGGAAGAACTGCCACTTCTGGTTTGTAAGCAAGATTTTTAAACAATACGATACTCACGTAGATACGTAGCGGAAAGCGGTCTGAATGAGAGCAGGAACATCAATAGTGACATTGAAATAACGTAGAGTGCATAAGAGACTTGTAAAATATAAAGAAAGAATCACAGCTACGGAGCTGTGTTACAGTGAGTCTATTCGATTCCACCGCTCCCAGGAAGGAAGTGAGTGCAATTAGGAATTCAAGAAGCTGATAAGAGAATCCCGTCCTACGCGTTCTTATACAGAACCAGTCAACTTCTGACTACCGCAAAACAACAAAGTACCGGTTCCGAAGAGGGATTTCACTATAAGTAAGGAAACAGCGCATCAATGAAATTCGTGACTCTCCCTGTCGAATACGTTTGACTAAGTAAGGTCCCAAAACGATTTCCATTAACTGCTCAAACGACTATTATCTTTGAACTGGTCGAACACTCGCTTCTGCAACAACACAACACAAAGAGAAAGTCGTCAACCCATCCAAAGAAAAACATGAGCTACTATAAGCCGAAAATTGCAGGAAAATCGCTCGGGACAACTGAGTTGCCGAAAAGTTTCTCAGAAATCAATGCTTGTTCCTTCTAACGGAGATGAATAAGTTAAAATAATGATTCAATAAAAATGCTGAAAAAGAAACTGTCATAGGTTTTTGACGTTCAAATTGTACCAAGTGTAGATTAAAATCCGATGAGATTACACTAGTGTAGATCCATATCTGAGTGGATCAGCATCAACAAGTGTAAAAAATTATTTAAAAAATGGACATACTCACTCTCTAGCAAAATTTTGTAAGAGTTGCGGCAATGAATGCTGTGTTGGAGCCATCGGAGGCGTCTGCGACAAGGAGAACTGCACCCTAAACGAGTCCAGCGACATTGAAGA